AATATATGGGAGAAATTATTTGGTTTATTATTATTGGTAAATATAATTAATTGATTTGTAAGAAATTGGATTGCATGGAAATAATTGGAATATTCATGTTCATATTGATTAATATACAAAAAAGATAGTTATATAACTAATTGATTTATATTAAAATGTTGAATTTGTATTAAACAACTGTATTACATAATTAACCAATGTGAGGATGGATATGAAAATAGATGACAATGTGAAGGGGTATAATATAGAATAGAAGGGAAAAATTGAATTTGATTAAGATTAGAGATGAGGATGAAGGGTAATATTGTTTTTTTAAAAAAATAGATGAGGAATAAATATGGTAAAAAGGAAATATAGAAATTGTAAATTTAATTGAAATGACTAAATACTGTGTTGGAAGAAATATCCTTCTGGGTTCTGCTCCAAGTGGGGAAAAAGACACTGGAAACATGGAGACTGCTTGGAAAGATGGTTTAATGGTGGACAGGATCACATGGCTTGATGGGGCCCATTGTGTTAGTTTCTGTTGCTATTGTGTTGCAAATGTCCTTTGACAAAGGATTGACTTTCTGCCTCTGGCCCATTAACAAAGGGTGGGGGGCAGGAAGGTGGGAGCTGCTTTGTCTGTAAAATATGCTTCTCCATTTCTCATCCAAGTAGGGAAATATAATATTCTGCCTTTTTAATATTTCCCAAAATATTTCATTCTTCTAGGAAAGGGGTGGGTGCTAACCTCCTACAACTGTTTAAATTTGTGAACCGGCCAAATACTCTGTTCAAAGAAAATACGTTGTATGTTTGTATGTGTGTTTCTAATTATTGCTATTTATTGCTATTCGTTCTCTTTTATTCTTTAAAGTTTAACAATTCATTCTTTATCTTAATATCTTAATATTTGTTTGGGGTTGGCTTTCTTCCCTTTCATTTTTTTTATTGTACAGCAATCTTTCTCCTCAAACCTACCACCTCTGTCTTTTCTTTCTTACTTACTTTCTCTTCCCCCCCTCTTCTTCTTCTCCCTACTTCCTCTTTCTTTCTCTTTCTCCTCCTCTCTTCCTCCCTCTCTTACCTTCACTCCTACTCTAATTTCCCTTCCCTTCCTTCATCCCTCTCTATTGCTGTATCCTTTTATGCATATGGACTACTCAGAGGGCTGAAAAAGTTATTTTTGACTGGTCCTCGCACTTTTGACCAGTCCTCGAACTTATGACTGTCCTCACAATTTACATATTTGCGCTATCTTGTCACCATGGTGAAGAGAAGCAGTTGTGAAATGAGTGACACGGTTGTTAAGAATGGTACAATGGGCATAAATGATGACCAGTCATAACTGCGAAGACCGGTCAAAAGTGCGAAGACCTGTCAGAAATCACATTTTTCAGCCCTCTGGGTAGTCCTTTTGTACACAGGGACTACTCAGAGGGCTGAAAAAGTTATTTTTGACTGGTCCTCGCACTTTTGACCAGTCCTCGAATTTGCGACTGTCCTCACATTTTACGTTTTTTGCCCTATCTGTTGAAGAGAAGCAGTTGTGAAATGAGTGACATGGTTGTTAAGAATGCTGCACAGGCATAAATGTGAGGATGGTCATAAGTGTGAGGACCAGTCAAAAGTGCGAGGACCTGTCAGAAATGACTTTTTTCAGCCCTCTGAGTAGTCCCTATACATATAGCCATGGCCACCCGGTCACATGACCAGCTAGCCACGCCCACCCAGTCACATGACCTCTAAGCCACACCCACAAAATAAGCCACGCGCACAGAACCGGTAGTAAAAAAATTTAGAACCCACCCTTGGTTGGGGGTCACCACAACATGAGGAACTGCATTAAAGGGTCGTGGCATTAGGAAGGTTGAGAACCACTGCCCTAAATGAACCCAAATGGAAGTTTGTAATCTCTTGTGGCTTTATTTTTGTTTAGGTGGCTGTGAATTGGAAACTGGCTGATTTAAGTGAGCGGGAAATGGCCATGCTTGACTTTGCCCTTGCTGTCTGCAGAGCAGATAACATAACGGAAGAACACTTTCAGAAGCTGGAGGCACACGGATTTGACCGAGAAGATGCCTGGGACATAAGCTCCATTTCAGCCTTTTTTGCCATGTCAAATCGCCTAGCTCACGTCATAGATCTGCACCCCAACCCAGAATTCTATGTCATGGGAAGAATACCAAGAGAGAAAAAGACCATTTCTTCCCAATAAAACTTGTTGATATCCTAATCTGTGCAAACACTGAAGTCAAGCTTGACTAATTACTGAATTACGAAAATGGACCAGTTTTAGAAACAATACAATACAATACTTCTGAAATTATTTCAAGTAAATCTCAATTGGAATGGGTTTCTTTAAAAGAAAAAGTGAGATCAGATACTTGTAGTTTCTTTTGATCATAACTAAAGATATGATTAGAAGTAAGAACCTCATATCTTTTATTTCTATGTAGCTAACTAAATACTATAATAAGACCTTTTTATTCAGACATTTGGAAAAGACAAATAAGCTGTATTTACATTCTCATTTCCTCTAAAGTACTGGCAACATGGTTGATTCCTAAAGGCTTAAGTTTTTGCACTGGATCAGGAGTCTTTTTTTAAATTTTATTTTAATGAGCTTTATAATGTAATTCTATTTCTTCTCTTTGGATTTAACAATGCTTTCATTCATTTGTGAATTTCAGCTTTTTTATCCTTTGATTTAAAAAGGTCATGCAAACAACTGAAAAATGAAAGGTATTAAACAGTTACAATAAATTAATATATGTTTTTGCTATTTTTTGCTATTTATTTTATTTACTGTATTTATTTTGTTATTGCTCTTTGTAAAAAGTCTTAAATTATGTGACAGCTTTCCTGATGCTGATATCTCAGAACTATGATAAATATCTCTGTAAACATGTTAGATTTTCAAGCAAAGATGAAAAAGCAATTACAGTATTTGTTTTTTAACTGAAGGAATACAGTATATTTTTGGCTCAAAACTGATATGCACTGAAATTCTAGTCTTGCTGTAAACATACCTCCTTTAATCCTAATATTTGAAAGCTCATTTTATTAGCTTGGTGAATTAGTTGGGTCTGCAATATTTGCCCATTATAATAAGATAAGACTAACTACAGGGAATCTGTGTCCAAAATATATACTGTTCATTCCAAATCTAACTTTAATATTTATCAAATATCACTCAAATGAATATTTTCTTCCCTGCACAGATGAGAAACTCTTTAATCTGGAAATTTAGAAATAAAAAAATGCATGAATATACTCTATGCTTATTTCATTGATTCAATCCTATATTGCTGCAGGCTGCCATGACCTATTTTTATCATTAATTCCATAGTGCTAGATAAAATAAGGATCCAATACAAAGCAAAACTAATGGCCTAGAAAACTTACGGATCCACTTTTCAGAATCATTCATTGGTCTTAGTAGTTTATCCAGCTATGACTGTACCACTACATCCTCAAAAACAAACCATGAAATCCCACATACATCAGAAAAGTAATGAGCCATAATGCTTTTTACAAATGTTTATGGGAATGTACATCTGAGGAAAATGGAAGTTATAATGCAGGATGGAATCTGAATAAGAACAGATCTACCAAAAACAGTCTCTGATCATTGCCTAGACATTTCATTGACCAGAGGATACCCATGTTCATGGCCTGCTCAAATAGCTGAGGACACCATATATTATTTTAACACTTGAGTCAAGGACAAGTGTCTATGGAGATTCTCAGTTATCCAGGTCATGACTGTTCCAAAGGTGCTTTTTCAAACGGCAACTGGACTTTTTGTTTTTCCTTGAAGATGTTTCGCTTCTAATCCAAGAAGCTGCTTCAGCTCGGAGCTGAATCGAGAACTTTCCCGATCTCCCATAATGGCTTTGATCAATCAAGATTTTATTTTTTTTTCACTAAAATAGGGAAGAAGCATCCTATTCCTAGCCTAACGCATATACTTGTAGCACACAGTATTCCTTGGTAAGCGTAAGGATGGTTACAATCCCTTCTGGCATATTTATTACGCCACAAACCCAGTTTTTATGCCCAGCATTCTCGGATTATTTTGTGAAAGATTGGATTTCTAATCGATAGATTAAGTAACCGGACAACATATTGCAGGCTTCCTCTCCAGCCCTGATGACGTTACCTAGTTGGGTAATGAAACATCTTCAAGAAAAGAACCAGCTTAGAGAGCATCAAGGATCCTACAGTTACATCCTCTAAAACCCACAGCTCCAACCTTAAACTGTCTACCGAGGATCTCACCCCATTCCTAAGAGGTCCGTAAAGGGGGCGTGCATAAGCGCACCAGTGTGCCTACCGTCCCTGTCCTACTGTCCCCATTTATTTGTACTCATGTCCTATGTTCATGTCCATATTTATACTTATACCCAGTGGTGGGATTCAGCCAGTTAGCACCACTTCGGGAGGACCGGTTGTTAACTTTCTGAGCAGTTTGATGAATTGGTTGTTGGAAGAAATCATTAGGGCAGAGAACCGGTTGTTAAATTATTTGAATCCCACCACTGCTTATACCTGTTATCTAGTCATGATCGACAAACTAAATAAATAAATATAATAAACAGTTCAACCATGAGCTACAACTATTATCTCCTATTGGTTCCTCCCACCAATTTGACAGATATGCAGGGAAGACAAAGACATTAATTTGCCTTTGGATTTTTGACAACCCTGCTAGCAACCGCTAAGCACAAACCCTGCTGAAAGCAGCCATTAATCCTGCATAACTCCTCTGAAAATTACAACTGATTCCTGAAATTCCTGAAACCAAACCAGAGGCAGAAAATCGCTTTCCGATCGGTTTAAAACGCCCGGCCGCTCAAAGCCCAGAATGAGCCAAATTGGGGTGGGAGGGACACCGTTTGGGCGGCCGCTTCGAGACACTCTCGTGTTTTTCGCCCGGTGCTATTTCTTTGGTGCTCACCGCACCGGAAGTGGTGGGGAGCCGAAGGCCCGGGGGTGGGTGGGGAATGGTGGCGGTGGTGGTGGTACTGCTGCTGCTGCTTGTCGTGGCGGCGGGGCCGGGCTCGGGATGAGCTGGAAGGCGCGGTGGGGCCCTACCCCAGAGCGGTCGCCCCCGGGCGACGGCGACCAGTCGCCGCCCCCTTCCACCTCACCACCCCGGGCGGTGTCACCGAAGTCGCCCCCGGCCTCTTTTACTTCCACCGCCCCGGTCTCGGCTCCAGGCGGGGGGCTGTTCTCTTGGGTGCGAGAACGGGGCCTGGGCCATGGGGGCCGCTGCGTGGAGCCGGCGAGGGACACTTTCCGGGCCATGACGAGGCTCTATGGTGCTATTCAGCCCGCCGATTCGGTGTCCCCCATCACCCGCACCCACGGCGCTGTTTTCAACCTGGAGTACTCCCCCGGCGGGTAAGGAAGGATGAGGCGAAGGGTTGCTCGGAGCCGCTTTGGCGGGTGCCTCGACCTCCTCGTTTGTGTGGCTGCGAGAGGTCTCCGTTTAGTGGCGGGTTCGCGGCACGTTTTTGCCGTTTTAGCTGCAGGTTGAATTATGTCGACGCTTGCAAACGAAGAATTGGGTCTCCATTTTTATTCCTATACTTCCACCCCCCCCCCCGAATTTAGTACAGTGTAATAGATGTTGTATCTCCCTTCCTCCCCCCCCCATGGTTGTAGTTTGCACCTAAAGTTATGAGGACATACTGTGATTGGGCAAGCAACTGCACAAGGCCGGCGAAAGTGTTTGCAAATAGGGAAATGGGGACAGAGTAGCAACAAATAAAGATGAGAATGGATGTGTCACCTAGCAGTCGGAAGCCACTTGATGTAATGAGAAACATACCCAGTTTATGTGTACCCTGTTTCCCTGAAAATAAGGCATCTCCTGATAATAAGCCCAATTGGGCTTTTGAGCGCATGTGCTAAAATAAGCCTTCCCCCCAAAAAATAAGACCTCCCCGAAAATATTTAAACGCAGAGCTGGAAATCAGGTTAGATGGCAAGAGGAGCCCCATCTTGCTCCACACGCCCCAAAATAATAAGACCTCCCTGAAAATAAGGCCAATTTCGGGGTTCAACAAAATATAAGACAGGGTCTTATTTTTGGGGAAACACGGTATCTCAAATATCTCAAGATTGTGAGAGCATTTCCATTAGTCTTCCATCAAGTAATGTTAATTTGCTGTGGTTTGAAGCTGTCACTTACAAATAAAAGCTGTAGCACCTTTTTTTGTGTAACTCTGTTTTCTATCCCTTAAGTTCTTTTTAAAGATGAATGTATGATTTAAATAGCACATGCAAAGCTGAAGTGTATTAAAAGATCCACATTTTTAAAAGAAATATTCATGGGACTCATCATAGTTGATAGGATTTAGCAATGTGCTGCTCCAAATTTTTTTGTTGTACTGCATTTATTATAAGATCAAAGGAAACTAAAATAGGAAAAGCATAACTTCTGAGTAATGATTTGTTGATGGTGGTGGTGCTTTTTAGTCAGTTTTTGACTCCTGATATCTGCCTGGTCTTTGCAGTTTTCTTGGCAAGATTTCAGAAGTGATTTGTTACAGAAATTTTGGTTTCAACTGTGGTCATAAGTGATAAGATTATTAGTTTTTGCACTGAAGAATGTAAACTGGTGTTGAAGAATATAGCTTGGTTTAGCATAAAGTGAAATCTATTTCTCCAAGACCCTCATTATTTAAAATACTATAACAAGTTAGTTCCCAAGTTACTTTTTCATATATGTCTGGATTGATTAATACACTTTACAATTTCTACTTGTCTTTTATCTTTTTGTTCTTGGATTAAGGTGATGCTGGTATATTTCATGTAATACATTGCAACAAAAAAAAATTATTACAGGTAGTCCTCGATTATTTAGCGAGCATTCGGTTATAACAGCACTGAAAAGGTCATTTATGACTGTTTTTCACACTTACAACCTTTGTAGCATCCCCTTGGTCAGGTAATCAAAATTCAGACGCTTGGCAACTGACTTATTCTTATGACGGTTGCTGTCTCCCAAGGTCATGTAATCACCTTTTGCAACCTTTGGTCAAGCAAATTCAATGTTCTTTATTCTAAGCTAAATATATGCTAGCTGTAGTCCAGGTATTAAGCAGTGAAAAGTATTTGAAAGGGATGCTTCTTCAAAGTGTCTTGGTGTGAGTGAAGCACTCTTCAAAATGTAAATGTGGCTGCATACTTTGAAAGCCCATCTGTTTCAGAGGCTATTCTGACTAGAACAGATGTCTATGCATGGGAAGTTCTTTTATTGTTCATTTTTTTATCAACCGTATGCTAGATCTCTACTTAAAATCATAGCCTGGGACCTGAATGACAGACCTGCTAAAGTTATGGAAAAGATATTTCAGCTTAGAAACTGTTAAATTGAACAGATTGGTATCGTGTAAATGTGATGTATTTATATGAACGCTTATGTTTTTCATTTAGGACATATGTATTTTTTATATAGTATTTCCTTGTATCTTATTTTTCTCCTGGAAATATATGGTGTATTTTACTTTTATTTTTTTAATATGGTCTTAAAGATAATCAATAAACTATCTTTGCATTGTCTATCTACCCACTTTTATTGAGACCACCACCAGAAGTACAACCTTATTAAGTAACTGTGCTGTAGTACCTTAGTAAGTCAGAGTCTTTCATAAATGTGCTAAAACTCATAATAAGTTTTATAATAATTCAGTTTCTGCACTGAAAGTTTGCAAAGAAAGTGTACGATTTTCATGCAAAATAAGTTTTGGCCGTAAGTATTTGAAACAAAGATTGCCTGGTACTCCTTGATGGTAATAGTTGGATTGTTTCATCTTGTCAATAATTTATTTCTTAAGCCCTAGAATAAGGTGGTTGGTGGAAAACAAATAAATCCCTTTTTCACTAAATCAGCAGTATGAATCCTTCTGTGTCAGTGCTTTGACATTACTAATTTGGCTTGATTCACAGTTTCATTTTTGTTTGTCATGATATAGGTGGGCAACATTTTTATATCAATTTCATTTAAATTACCTTCTGTTAGTAATGAAGGGACTATAAATGACTTGGTGGTATTATTAAAATAGAACAAGCTGAATTCCTCTGCGCTCCATTTTTGTTTATTTATAATCTAGGTGCAAAATCAGTGCATTAAACATTGCAGAGGCTTCACAGAACTATTTAACATTTTGTTCACAATCGGCCCCAAAATGCAGAAAAAGCTTATACAGCTGAAAATCATCAGTGGATTGCAGTTGAGTTTCCATGGTGCAATTTAAGGGCATTTTGAGGATGCAGAGTAGGGCTGGAGTCTGCATGTATCCCATAAACTTTGGGTCAATATTGTTTGTTCCATGAATTCTAGCCAGTGATACATGACAGCAACTTGTGAAATCATTGAGAAACCAGTACTTCAGGTTCTCTGCTTTTTTCCCCTTTCCCTTGATGTCATACTTTTACGTTTGAAGCGTTAAAGGTTACTTTGCATTTGGACTTAGAAGCCAGAAATCTAGGACTTATGTTTTTGTTTTTTTAACTTACAATTAGAGCTTTTATTTCTCTAGGATTGTGATGGCGAACCGATGGCAAGCATGCCGGAAGTGGCACACAGAGCCGTCGCCCGTTGTTCTTCTGGGTTCCGGCGTGCCAGCCAGCTGGTCTTCAGTGTGCGGGAGCACCGGAAACCAGAAGACCAGGTGGTGAAGAGATCATCTTCACGGTGCTTGCATGAGCACCGAGTGGCTGCTCTTGCTGTTTCCGGCACACATGCGCGCACTGATCTTTGCGTGTGCATGCACATCAGAAACCAGAAGACCAGGTGGCTGGTGCGCATGTGCATGCCGGGAACCGGAAAAGCAGTCGTCCAGTGCACACATGCGCACCAGGTGGCTGCTCTTCTGGTTTCCGGCATGCACGCACATGCTTCCATTTCAGCACTCGGTGCCGAAAAGGTTCGCCAACACTGCTCTAGGATATGAAGAATCTGCAGTGGGCTCTGATTTATTAAATTTATATGGTTACCTATGGGTTCTTGGAATTTGATAGAAACTCAAAGCTAAATATAATTCTAGATTGTCATTGTTCAGCAATTATTTTCAATTCTTAAGATACATTGCTTAGCAGAACTAGTACTTTTATTTGGAGCTATTCATTTTTTATATGCAAAGTTTGGGTTTTCCAGCCTTCATTAGAATTCATGAAGGACTTGCAGATAACAGGCAAAACTTTCCTCTCTATGTCAGCCTGGCATATGGCTTTTCTTTGATTGCTAAAACTTTTGATCTTCCATCATTTTCAATCCCCCCAATACCATCTATATTGGGTAGACGATGCATCCTCACATTCGTCTTTGGCAGAGTTCACCAGGCTTTTTGTGCTCTTTGTGGCCATTGAAGCAATCTCCAGCTAGTAAGCTTTCAGCAGTATAAGTACTGTTGCATCCAATTCAGGTATGCCAACCCACATTTTTTATTAAACCCTTGTCTATTTGCATCATGGTTGCACCTGCAATGTGCCAATGTGTTTCTGGTAATATAAGATTCTACCCTTAATGGCAGTCTAGCATCTGAGGCTTGTCCCCTCTCCTGTAGGAAACTTTCTCTACTTCCTCTGTTCCTAATTTTAGTTTCTGTTATCAAGTAGCTAGCATTTCTTTGGAATCCTGGATGGGTATGTGAATAGCAAGCAAGAAGCCATAGGTAAATACAAACCATCACAGACTACCTATCAAAACATATTTTCTAAGTGACTTAAATATCAAAATTAAAAAATAAATATAAACATGAAAAAAACCCTATTTTTATTGCTGGAGATATTAAATATTAAATCATATTGAAAGAAGAGCCCTAGACGCATTTGAACAAACTGACCAAAATAAATGTATTTGGTGTCAAATAAGCCCTAGAGAGGACCATCATGGTGTTCTTTGGAGGCTATTCCATAAGGCTTATTAAGAAGACCTTTGCTTTAGTAGTCACATGTTCCTGTTTGCTTGTTAGGGATTCACACAGGAATCCTTAGATTATATATTATATAAAACACAAGAGAATTTTCCAATTATCCTAATCCCTCTTTGTTGAAAGGCCTTTATGGTTAAAAGCATCATTTTCAAGAGAGTCCACAAATTCACTTAGAGCCTGTGCAGCTGGTAAAGGCATTGGCATATAAATTTGAAGCAATTCCAAATCCTAATTTTGGAGCTTTATCTCCTGTTGTGAGGGAGATGGGTGGTTTAAAAATGTGTGTGAGAGCATGTGTGTGGGGGGGTGGGGAACAACTTGAAATCACAGCAGTTTTTGAAATTTTCTAAAGGCAGTCCTGTGTACAATAGATAGTAGTCTTTCGAATGTGGATAACTGGTTAAGATATCTCCGTGCAGGTGTCATTATACAGAAGGTTTTAGAGTCTTTAATAGTAAGAGTCATTGGTGCTTGGGTTCTCACAGGTGTGTGCTAATTGGGCATACATTCTGGTAGGGAGACATTCCCTGAGGATGGGCTCCAGCATGAGTCTGAAAGTTTGGAAGACTAAACCTCAGGTCCTGTGACTGATCAAGATTGGAACATTATCCTGGGCCACATATATTTGCCTTCATTCATAGGTTCTCTTTATCTAGGGTCTTTCCACTCCTGAGGCAACCCAAATTCCACTTAACAACCTGCGTCCAGAGCAGGGATGAGGACTCATTAATGCCCTTTCAACTGTAATGGGCAGGCTCCATCATGGTTATAAAAAGATAACCTTCTTTTTCTAATAATGCAGTATAAAATCTGTTCCTAAATTATATGGATGCACAAGTATTTTTTGCAGAACTGGGGAGAAAAACATTAAATCTTGCCTTTGCAGTTAGATGATGTTTAAAAAGAAGGCTGCAATCTATACAATGTACTCGTAGCCTTATTGTATATTTGTGATCACACAAACAATGAACAGTTAAAGGAATTTTGTTCATTGAAGCTCAAATGTACATGGGAAATATTAATTTAGCAGGTGCACAGTTTAATAAACCATAATTATTCAAGGTTTGTAAAGGGAGGGAGCGCAGGAAGGAAGGAAGGAAGGAAGGAAGGATCATTCTTTTCCTTGAAAAGGAAATACATTCAAATAAAGACATAAATTGTTTCTTTGTGTGTAAATAGCCAGTTACATTTTATCATCTTTGTAATTTTGTTGATCAAATAGTAATCTCATTGAGGAAATCACCTGCAAATATCTACATGTCATAGGACAAAGTTATTTGAGAGAGCACCTGTTTCCCATGGGTTCTGCCCAACTGGTAACATGTTCACAGAGTTAGCCCACTCTGGTTTTCTTGAATTAAACAACAACATCTGTTGGGACCGAAGAAGCATACCTTCTCTATCATAATGGGTGCCTTTTGGAATAAGATATCCCCCTGAAATCTAAGTACTATCACCCTGTTGGACTTCAGAGCCTTGTGTGATTTGGATGGGGGGTCCTTGTCTGTTAGCATGTTGTGCCTGGATCCCATCTTGGTTTTATTATAGTTTGGGCCTCCTTACTATTTGAGGATTCACACAGGGTCAGTTGAATTTGGGTAGACCCTAAATTGAATTGAATAAAGAAATAAAAATTGAAGCCTTCTAGAACTCTCTCTGGGGAGAAAGTACTTTCTCCCATTATTAAAGTGATATTTCTCTGATAGAACCTTGGATGATTGAACAAAGCATTTTCCTGCTCAGTCCTTTTTGGACAATTGTGTACAGAACCAGTTTTACCAGAAGTGCTAGAAGAGTTCATGAAACAGTTTCTGCTTCATAACACTGAAGCAAGCGGAAGAAAATAAAATTAACAATTTAAATATGTAGAACATAATTTAGAGTACTTTAGCTAGAAATATTACACTCTGGTTATTGAAGAAAGCAAATTTGGCGTAATGATTAAAAGAACTAGACTAGAAACCAGGAGACTATGTGTTCTACTCCTGCCTTTGGCAGAATGCCAGCTGGACAACTTTGGCCAATCCTATTCTCTCAGCTCTAGGAAGAAGGCAAAGACAACCCACTTCTGCAAATTTTGCCAAGAAAACTGCAAGGACTTGTCCAGGTAGTTGCTCGAAGCCAAGATTGACTCAAAGAAACAACAATGTTATTATATTTTTTTATTCTGTTTATTCAATGCATTCTTGTTTCTGTAAATGGTTGGTTTTGCACATATTAATTTAAAAGAAGAAAGGAATTCATTTCTAAGTATGCATGGACCTTTTGGAGTCTTTCTTGTGAAAGAATGTGAGGTTTATTATATGTAATATACCTGCTTCTCTTTGCTGTCCAGATCAGTGCTAACTGTTGCTTGTGAACAGACAGAAGTCCTGCTGTTCGATCCTATCTCTTCAAAGCACATCAAAACCCTTTCCACTGCTCATGAGGACTGTGTAAATAATATCAGGTTAGTCTCCTGGCAAGTGAAAATCAGTTGCCAATGATTAAAATTCCAAAGCCTGTTTTGTTCAACTCTAAAAGTAGTGAAGGATGAAGTTGTAATGTTATCCAAATTAGTTGTTGTTCTAAATGTTCATTTTTCTTGCTCTCATCAGTTGGTATCATAATTTGTTATATTACATTCATGTCTTTGTAGAGACTCAAGCCACATCGCTGTGGCCAATGAGCAGGTAATGTGGATGAGCACAGATTATTGTAGGAGCCCCTGTCTTTATAGAGGGGTCTTATGCTTTCAGGTCTTTAAATTATTCACCCCTCTTCTTCAAGAGTTAGCGCCAACTGTGCCCAAGAATCTCAGAGGTTGGGTAAAGAAATGTGTTGAACTCCTGCCAGTTCTTCCTCCTACCCAAGGGGATCACAAACCAGAGGAATAATTACAGTGTTCAAAAACCATGGCAATAGGAATGAATTTAAGGCAGATGTAATTCCAAATGGAGAATAAGGATCCAAAGAAAAATATATAACAACACAAAAACTTAATTTCAAATTTGACTGAACACATTTCTTTCTTAGTAACTAGCAAACATTGATTAAAACGAATGTATGTACAAGCTAATAATTGAACATGATATAATCATTTATAGTCATTTAAAACTTGTGTTTCTTTTCAAATGAGTTATTTTTTCACAAATTGTGAAATGATAAAGTAACGGTACCTCTAATACATTCTTGCTAAATAAGCCAAATGTAAAATTGGCTACCTTAGAAAGCTTGTTCTGATATTTCTTAAACTAGCAGGTCTTCAAATTCTCACCTGAAGCACTACAGCCCATTTTTGAGATCTGCTTTAGTCTTTTAGAAGTCAGATGCTTTAAAAGCACTAAACTGATACTATTCTTTACGGTATAATTATTTTTTGGAATCAATGCAGGGGAACATTTAGCATTATTATTTAGTGATGTTTGATATGAATTTGATTGCATTAATGAGATCCTGTCCCTTTCCTTTTTTATTTATTTATTTGTAGGTTTCTTGATAATAGACTGTTTGCAACTTGTTCTGATGATACTACCGTAGCACTGTGGGATCTGAGGAAGCTAGATTCAAAAGTGTGCACTTTACACGGTCACACCAGCTGGGTGAAGAATATTGAATATGATACTAACACAAGATTGCTAGTAACATCAGGATTTGATGGAAATGTCATCATTTGGGATACCAACAGGTAAAGAAATTTCTCACTGATCCCTTTCTTCATTTAGAAGTACCGAAAAGACAACAACACTGCCTTTTTAGTATCTTATCTGAAAACCTGCTAGCTACATGGAAATAGGATATGGTTGCATTTTGAGTTTCTTGGTTCATGTCTTAGTGTTGTGCAGACGTAGGTCAAAATTCATTCCCTATCATTCTTTATCCTTTCCTTTTCCCTTGATTATAAGGTCAACAAACTGTTATAACAGAAATCAGCATAATGCTTCTGCAAATTGTCCACTTAGAGCCAAGCTTGGAGCAGACTCTTGAAACATTTTTTAAATTCTAGGAGATGAGTAAGAATGACCACATCAAATCTTTACTATGACCATAAATCCAGCAGTTTTATTTATAAAACATAAACCAGATAAAAATAGAGAATTAGAACTTTTATACTGAAACCAATCAGGTGTTTTGAGCAGCAATGATATGTTACCACGGCATAATATCCCAGTGCTTTACATCAGAACATACAATATTGTGGATTAGAGGTGCAGGAATATCTTCTAGAATATCATGTTGTCTTACTTTATAAGCAGCAATATAGTACTCGGTCATGCAACAGCTGTTTGTTTGAAGTGTGCTTTCCTCTGCTCGTGTACTGCACATGAGACACTGCCAGCAACCTATGAAGCATAGCAAAATCCTGCAGCTTCTTTGAAGCGATGGAGCAGATGCTTTGGAGCTTGAGTAGAATGAGAGAGAAAGCTGGTTCTTTGATAAACTATTTTGGCATGCATATTCAGGTTGAGATTCATCACTACCAAAATATCAGTAGCAAAATGATCGTGTAGCCACTTTGCTTTTCTTTAAATTATATGTCAGACAGGAAGAGGAAAGATGAATATTATTCTTTAAGAGAAATACTATCTCAAACATAGGATTAAAAATTGGGGTTCTTAAAACTATGGAAAAGTCTTGTGGTTTTGATGGGTGTCTTTCCTTAGGTGCACAGAAGATGGTTGTCCACACAAGAAGTTCTTTCACACCCGCTTTCTCATGCGCATGAGATTGACTCCAGACTGCTCCAAAATGCTGATTTCCACTTCTTCTGGGTATCTTCTGATCTTGCATGATCTCGACTTGACCAAATCTTTAGAAGTTGTCAGTTATCCCATTCTGAGAGCCAGAAGAACCACATCAAATTCTGGCAAGTCTTGGCATTTTGTTAATATTGTTATGCCTACGTTGTTCCTAGATCTTGTGAGATAATAGATAGCATTGGATAGATAGCATTGTATGCAAGAAGTAAGTTAACTTGAAAAGCCTGTGTGGTATATATTGCAAATGGTTAGTAGGATGAAGGACATGTAGCAATAGCAATAGCACTTAGACTTATATACCGCTTCACAATGCTTTACAGCTTTCTCTGAGTGGTTTTACAGAGTCAGCATATTCCCTCCAAACAAAAGCTGGCAGTGCTCTTGAGTGGCATGTGAATTACTGTGATACCTATTCTTTTTGTGACTTTTTGTGTTCAATGGAACCAGCCTAATGTTTTTGCATGGTAGCTTTTTCTGGAAGAATGCCAGTTAGGGAGTTGCCTTATGGGTATGTTCGGCTGTTACTGATCTTGCAATAACAAGATTAGTTTTCAGGAGGACTGAGGTTTCAGGAGGATGAGATTCCAAGGAAAATAATCTGTAAGCTATTAATTTCTAAATCTTTGCAATACTTCTTAGAAATAAGCAACCAAATGATACCTAACACAAGAAAAGTTCTTAAAAATCAAGAACGATCCTCTCGATCATTAATGGAGCACCACTTTGAAAAGAGTTTTCAAAGCCATGAAATTAATAAATTAGGAGAGGTATTTAACACTGTTTTTGTGTTTGATGTAACTTCATCTTGCTTTTCCATTCTCAGATCTGGCATCCGTCACTTCACCTGGTCCTAGAAGTGCTGAGTCACCAGGACACCAAGGAGATTCAGGCCCACGTACTGAGAAACATACAGTACGAGTTACCCAGCGAGAAGGTATGTAAAACAAGTAAATGACTAATTGCAAAATCTGAGCCTCTTCTGTATGGCAAGGGCTTACAGTACAAAGTGTTCTCTCCTATTGGACAAGAAGGGAATTAAAAGTGGTGTTAATTGTAGCGATGTTCTGTTTCCGTAGGTGGATCTCCACGTAATAGTCTTGAGGTTTTAACCCCAGAGGTTCCTGGTGAGAGGGATCGGGGAAACTGCATTACATCACTGCAGCTCCATCCCAAGGGATGGGCGACACTTCTTCGATGTTCAAGTAACACTGATGATCAGGAGGTAAAAAATAGGGTGATGATAATGGTGCATATGTATGTTGATCACATTCTTGCAGAAAAACTGGAGGTCTTTTGTCTATTAATGGAATAGAAGTGAATTGTCACTCCATTGATAAAATTAGAAATACAGAATAAATGTGGCAGCAGTATGTACAGTTGTAATCTTGAGTTGCAGTGTTTGCTTCATTTGAATCATTTGAATGATGTGGTAAACTGAGCTTGGCTGAAAACAACGCAGTAGAACATCTGGTGTTGTGCATAGTTATACTGAAGTCTAAATAGCAGTAGGTAACCAATCCTGGCTAATTTAGAGAGGGCTTAGAATGGTGAGGTCTATTTAATATTTAAATGGGAGACAACAGGGAAGCACTGGTAGATTATCCATATTGTTACAAGAAAGCCTCCATAAAATAGAGAGGGATTTATGCAATATCTATATTGATATAACATTAAATGTTATTTCCCCCCTACTTTCTGTAGTGGACCTGTGTTTATGAATTCCAAGAAGGAGCACCAGTGCGGCCAGTTTCCCCTCGCTGTTCCCTCAGATTGACTCATTGCATCGAAGAAGCCAATGTAGGCCAGGGCTACATTAAAGAACTCTGCTTCAGCCCAGATGGTCGAATGATCTCCTCCCCACATGGCTACGGAATCCGTTTGTTGGGGTTTGACACCCAGTGCAGCGAACTGATTGACTGCTTGCCCAAAGAAGCCGCCCCCTTGCAGGAGATCCGTTCACTCTACTCGCATGGCGATGTGGTTCTGACTACCAAGTTCTCTCCAACGCACTGTCAGATTGCCTCTGGGTGCCTTAGTGGTCGTGTTTCTTTATATCAGCCAAAGTTCTAGGCTCCCCTTGCCTTCAAAGGAACATCTCTGTGTTTTTTTAATTACTTCAGTTTAGTTGGAGTGTTTGCTTTTTTAAACAAGTCTTGTAAATTTGGACAAGTACAGAGTTAATATTGGACTTAAAACTGATCCCAAGTCCAGTCCTTTATGTGTGCTGTGACTGAATTTGCACATTAGACTTTTGTGTACATTATATCTCTCCGCTCCTGATAATTCCATCCATATTTAGAGGTAGCGTGGTAGCACTTGTAAACCTTGTTTTTTCTGTGTGTCTCTTTGTGCAAGATGTTGGATGGGCTTGAAGAAGGGAAAACAACAAGCTAAAACCTGTCTGCTGCTTTGTATCAAAGGAGTGGAGATCAGCTCACGTGGATTCTTTGATTTCTGGATTTTGCTGTGTATTTTCTCCTAAGTAATAGAGCACTTTCTTGCACATTAGACTAAGTATAGCCAGCATTTACATTATTTTTTCGTGAACAACTAAATAGACTGTTATCGTTACTTTTTTGTATTTTTCTGCTGTGGTTCAGTTTATAGGCTGGTACTCTTAAGAACTGTGCAGTGTTAATTATCACTCTGTGCTCCCACATACAAACTTCTCTCATCTAGGCCCATCCTTGACTTGCTGGAGAAAGTTTATTGGGAACTGAATAACTTAACATTTTTTCTTTCACACATTTCTCTTAAAGGAGCATCTTCTTTTAAGTTATTGGACATATATTGGAGAACAGAGTATGTGCCCAACCATATATATTTACAATCCAATAGGAACTTCTATGCCACAAACCTCAGTGAACAGGAGCTTGTAAGCAAACAAACTGTGGTGGATCTTTAACCTTTTGTTCATTTAAAAGAGGCTGGTGCTAGGGAACATCCTGAGGTTTTGGGTCCTTTCTCGTGATGGGTTTCATCGCAACAAAGGACTTTGAAATTGAATAAAATCTTTTTAAAAAATGTCAGTTTTTAAATGAATGCTGCTCAGTGCTGTACTTATGTTTGCAACCTGATTAAGGCTAGTTGGCTTTTGATGTGCCTTGCAAGCCCCCACAGGTAAGCTATAGCATGTGAAAAAAAAAATCCTTAGTGCGCACACCTTACACCCTTTGCAAGATTATAGATAATTTTATATATATATATATATTTATGTGTGTATGTGTGTGTGTGTGTGTGTATATATATATATAAAATTATCACCAGCTGTATACGAAAATCAAAAGATTTTGCAAAACTAAATATTTTCTGTTCCAAGAGTAACACATTTTTCTAGCATATTCGCATGTGAGATTTTTTTTTTAAATCAAAAGTCCTGTTGTTGCCCAGTAGTGGCATAAGCAGAATTGCTTATACTTAGAAGGTTGTTGAATTTCCATTGAACATGAGATACATAAAACATAAATTAATTGTGTGTGTCAGTTTCTGCAGTCATGCAAGTAAGGGTGACAGATCATTGGTTCCCTGGAATTTACATGCAAAGTGTTCAGTTAATTGAGAGTCATTCGGAGACTTAAACATTTTTGCCAGATTCTCATTCCTATCTGTTTAAACCATCTAAAACTCATCTGCATGACATTTTTCTATCTGATGTCCTGGAAATTAACATGATTGCATGCCTGAATGATCATTTTAAAAGAAAATGATTTTTCCAGTAAGAGGACTAGTTTCATTTAGCAATTAGCTGCTCTGCTAGTTGTTCTGAAAATTATGCCAAATATAGAATATATTTATAAAGCAGCTCAGAAAAATATCAAATTTCGGATAATAGATGTCTATAAATGCTGTTCTGAAAAAAAATGTGTTGACTGATTCTCAGAACTCTTAGTGTAGCCACTTTAATAAGAAACTTGTGGCATGTGGGATTAGAATGTAGCTGTTGATCACCATATGCTCTGTAGATGATTTAATAGATTAACATCAATACGAACAAGCCCAGAACTATGCTGTCAATATATCTTAAATTAGACATAGGATGCCTACACTTCTTTGTACTTCTGGTGATTCAGTCTTCGTTTAATATCGTTCATCATCAGAGTTGAGTTTCTAGCCATCTATTTTAATGGCTAGAAAGGTTTTCTTAATCCAAAGCCTGCTTAGCCACATGGTGTAGTTAAATGGTGCTCTTGTGTATGTGACAGAAAGGTAAACAAATATATTGTAGATATGAGATGAATACAATTTTCATTTAAAATTAAGTACAAATTACTTTTTTCTTGGATGATCTGAATTAGCTAGATATGCCCATATAATCAGTTCTTGAATTTTAAGATAAAATCAGATCTAAAATCAGTTTGTAGATCAAATCTCCATGGTTGAAATCCAATCTTACTTTTTTATTTTTAATGTATTTTTTCCTTAAAATTTTTAGAACATGTGCATTTCTGCTTAAATTTTATATATACCCCAAAGGCATTAAAAAAAATGAGCTGAGCCAGAAAACCAAAAAATAGAAAATGCTGGTTGGGCTGCAGAGAGAAGTACTGTAGTCCATGGCTTATCATAGATAATTACTTTGTAAATAAAAAAATATGTGGCTAGATGAATTATTGGAATAGGAAATGGAGAGCAGGTCCTTGAAACCTTGTTAAGATTTTAAATGAATGGCAAGCAAATAGGTAGACAGCAGCATCATAGATACTTACTTTGGTCCACCTAAACATTGAATGTTGGGACACACTCTTTCTCTCCCTTCCCCCCAACCCCGACTTTTAGAGTAAGCAATTAAACATTAATCTTCCTACAGCATCTAAACTCTATATGATTCCTGTATTCCTGCTTTTTTCTTTTGGAGGTTAGGCTGGGATAGAGGGTGAAATGTCTGTGTGCTTTTGTTTATGTACTTGACTCCCTGTCTTTTCTTTTTCCATTAGAGATCTTCCTGTACAGTTGCTTCATTTTAACATGAGTGTGTATAATTTTGGATGTCCAGTCAGTAGTAATCTTCCAAGACTACACGTTGTGAGAACTGGCATGTTATCCAGGATCTGAAAACATTATTCTTAAATTTTGTAACTAGTATTATATTTACAGAGTAAAAAGAGTTATTGTGCTTGGTTCACCTTTTGAGTTATATCTGTCAAAAATAAACCTAAGGCCTAATGAATTTACAGAATAAGAAGGAGATTCTTGATATGCCAGATTTTTTTTAAGGAGCAGGGTGATGCAAAGAAGATTCATGGTGCTTAAACTGCATGTAAAGTACAAGCCAGTGATTATGAATCAGAGTTTTGTGTATGTATGGGTTATTAATTCTGCACTAAGAAATATATATATACATAAAATGGAAATAGTCCAGTTGCCAGAATTTGAATTCTGTTTATCTTTCATGCAGGATAAGGTTGCATAAAAGTGACTTCGGAGATTAAAACTAAGTATTTTGGAGTGTAGCTCTTGTGTTTTAGCATGTTCCTGTGAAACTGTGACTCACCCATGATGAAAGGTTCTTTGACTAGTCAGGAAAGTTTGAAAAAGTGAACTTCTGTATGTGCATATTGCACATGCACAAGCATAATGCAACTTTTAAGAGCATAAGTTTCAGGTTGCACTGTTGAATTCTCAGTTTTTTAAAAAATTAAGTTATTTGATGAAGAAAATTACTTCCTTTGATGTCCTTGAGAATTGCTGTGATTTGGAGCAGTCGATAGCGTACATCTAAGACAGATGAATCTGAATTGATCCAGGTCTGTAATGTCTTGATTTATCAGCTTACATTTACCTTTAGAGCTCTTTTTTGAGTACAAGATTCAAAGGATAAGAAACAGGGTTTCTTTTGAGTTTTCGTTCAAAAAGAGCAATGGTTTTCTGAAATGGAGAGTGCCTTTTTGCTAATGTCAATCTTAGTACAGTTCCATTGACTTTAAATTACACTAAAATACTTTTTAAATTGCTGGTAAATGTCATCTCAAAATTCAATTAGTTGGCTATGTATTTGTGGATATGAATATACTTCAAAAAAGATCAGATGCTGTATTTGGAATGAAATAATGGCTGCCTAGATGATACTAACTTAAAGTACAATCATGGTAATAGAATCTTCACTATTACTACCAGTAGCAAGAGTTGCTTAGCAAGTGTGGAACTATATAATGGAATGAATGAATGAATCATCAGTATGAATGAATCAATGTTATGGTATCAAAAATTATGTTTCAAGTTTTATGTAATTTTCTTCCAGATAATATTTCAGTAAGCTGAATTCTTAAAAGTATTTTTGTTTAGTCAGTTTATTTTGATAATGGAAAAGCTTCTGGCATGGTACGTTTTTACCTATTTATTAATTAAACTTTTCAAATATTTTACAGTATAACTATAAACTCTTGTTACACACCAAAAATTAACTGAGTAGTAAGATTCTGCAACATGTGGAAAAGTATGCATAGGGAACAAATAATTTGCATGTAGCCTGAGAGATTAAATCTCTGGCATCTCCCGGTGGTAAATTGAGTGGCCAATAAATAAAGAGAAAGAAAAGAAGAGAAGAAGGAGAGAAAGAAAGAAATGAAAGACATAGCCTGAAATCAGATGTGAATGGTTTCTGCTTTAATGAGGGAGATCACATGAATTAGATATAAAAAAACAAACAAACCCACCTTGAACTGGATAGCTAATGAATGGACTTGATACAAGACTTTTTCAATCATTCCTATGGCTTTTGCAAGCTAAGTACCAAAACACTAATTCCAGTCACTGAAAAGCAGCCTCCACCTCCAATTCTAATACCATTTTCAAGCATTTTTTTTTGCACCCATAAGAAATAGAACATTTTCTTTTTTAAAAAAAACCCAAGATGTTGGGATTTCCAGGGAGCATTTTGCACTTTCCCCAGTCCCTATAGAATTCTAACATGCAGCCATGAAGATGATTTGGTGTTTGGATTACCCCAATCTAACTCTTCCTAAAGCTTTAAAAATGCAGAGAGTAATTGAACGTGGCTTGTATTTTTTAGTAGAGCTGAATTTATTGTATTGCAATCATCAGTGTAAATTATATATTGCATTGCATTTTTAAAAACATCCTACCTCATATCATGCTTTTCTTTAAACAAAAAGGTATGCTCATTTTTAAAATCAGCATACAGTAATTCATTTTCGAAATGCAGAAAGCCAGCAATGCAGAGATTATCTTTATTTTAGGCAACTGAGAAGGGCCCCTTGAAGCAAAGCAAAGCTGTTCAATATTCAGCATGTAGTACTAGAATGCTGCTGTTTTCCCCCAATTCTGAGTCCTCCAGATGTGTTGGATTACAATCCCCATAATCCACAATCTGTATGAGCTTTGTCTATTTTTTTACATCACTGCTTTAAATACTGCTAGACATATTGATTTAGTACTTCAAAACCTTAATAAAATTATATACTGTGCTGAACTTACTCTTAGCTACAGAAATGTTCAGTGATTCTCTGATCTTTCTGTCTCATAGTTATCCTTAAAAACATTTAGTGATGTTAAATTAGATAGTGTGGCCACATGGCTTTTTAAAATGAAACAACATTTTTGAGTGGAAATGTTTCGAGCTTAGTTATTATTTTGACTTAATGGAAATTAACATTTGACTTTGTAAAATCCTAGGAACAATCTGTTCCTTAATAAGGGAAAAGTTGCTTGATTATAAAAATGCAGCATTGAAAATTAACATTCTTATGCATGCCTTTTCAAAGATCTCCAGTAAACATTAGCTATTATAACTGATTCATACCATTTTTTCCTCTTTACATTTATTTATCATTTATTTCTATAAACATCTTTTACATCTGTTTATGATTCTGATCAGAATATGTACTATGCCCATATATGCTTTAAATGAGTAGCTTAATCATATTTTTGTCCCATTGTATATTAAACTGTAGAAAGCATGACATATCAGCCAAAGCAGATACATTGTATTTATTGAGTTTGATACATGGATACAAAAACCTTATAAGAGTTTATCAAAACACTACTGATATGTACAATTGTAATTGTTGCTGAATGTACACTGAGTGCAGTAATATATACATCAGATTTGAGAATGGATAAATCTGAGTACTGTATTTATAGGGGTAAAAAAGGTTTCTACCGATAAAACATTGCCACATAGGTTGTGAAAAAGCTGGTCATGTTTCAGTGACATTGAAATCAGACTAGAATTTATTGCACTGATTTCAAAAGGATATAGAGCACACATTAAAATTGCCACTTATTCCAAGTTCAAAATTCACATTGAAAACAATCAGCTATGGTTGGCAACATCATCTGAAAGACAGTTGGCCCAACAACATTGATCTTCTGGCATAATGTACAATGGTAAGAAAATGTCAGATGTTTGGGGATCAAAACGTTGAAGCTCTATAATGCGTCTAAGGAACAAGAGTACACGCATTCTTGAACATGCCCCAGAGTTAATTTGTTAGCATGCAAATTCATGTGGAAAGTATTCCTTGAGCATGAAACCAAGTGCTTTGACATTGTATACCAGCTATAGATGATCAGAATTGGAAGCTGTTACATATTTTGCATGTTTTTCTCTCAAATATTTTTATAGGATGTCTCTGAACACCTGAATACTTTCTTTTCCCCTTTTTTGTAATGAATGTCAGGGATCCAATTGGTTTTAGCTCTAAAGCATGGGGAAGGCTGAAATTCTGAATAAACATGGAATAAACTGTTGGATGCTATTGAACATATTCCATGGACAGGATTTCATTGCAAAAGTTAGCAGATAGAGATTTGATGAGTTCTGTAAAAAGAATATGATTTAGCATTTTATAGTTAGCTTTGGAGAGTATGAATCTCAAAATATCAATCACATTTCTACTTATATGGAAAATAGTTGCATAAAAATCGACTGGTTTCCAGCTTCAATCTAAAAACAGATTGGGTATGGCTTCCACATATGTATGAATTCTATATAGTGGTTTTTGGAATTCCATATGTCCATTTATCAGACAGAGCTGACCAACTGATACTAGTTTGGAAAGGAGAACTTTCCTCCCTTTTAAAGATCATTGTGGAAAACTTGAGTGAAATTTAGAGACCACTACAATGGAGAATTATTTCCCAAATGTCAAAACAGAAAAGTAAAAAAATGGATAGAGTTGAAATGTACATTAATCTAAAGCCAGTTCTTTAAATAATTTACATCCCATTTGTTAATAGCTTTGTTGTGTCAGCTTATTTGTAAACATATTTCTATCTCGTGCAAAAATATTTTTTTTAAATATGGAAGTACAAATTTGTGCATGTAGAGTACTTTGAAATTATTTCATAAAAGGTGTACATTTTAAATACATCTACAAGAACTGTCTAGGAAATGTATTTACTCTTACACGGGTGATGTAAATGTTTGAACAATTTCTCTTGCTTGCTTAATAAACACTTCACATTCATACTCTGAATTTGTTGCTCATATTTCAGTAATGTATAGTTAGTTGCCTTTTAGATTTATTTATTTTTTAAATCTGAACACTGGACAGATTAAAGTATTCAGTAATGTAGATTGATGTATTCAAGTATGTTTTAGATACTTGAAACTAGTAGCATTCAAAACTATTTAAATAATCCTCTTTAACATGTTTCAAGTATTAAGTGTTTCAATTGTAAATTTTCTCTGGTCTATACTGTATCAGGCACCAGTATGAAGAATTATGTGTTTAATTCTTTTGTTCAGAAATTCAAATTCAACTGTATACACAGCTGGATTCATACATAGTATGAAACCATGGTATTTGTTTGTTTTAGCTTAATATTGTGAATTCAATTATTCAAGCAATGATTAACCAATCACAGCTTGCTTAAATGAGTGCCCCAGCTAGTAAATGTGATCAGATTCCACTAAACTCTACAGAGGGAGTGATTCAATTGCACAGTGACTGATCATTTCTTTCTTTTCTTAAGAAAAAAAGATTTCCTTTCCAGAAACCATTCTGATACCCCTGAGTTGGCTAAGAAGTTAGTACAAAAAGGAGGAAGATGAATTAGATAAGAGTATGTTCCCAAGTAGACTTTCCTATAGAAAATTCTATATTTTTTTGTATGTTAGGTAGAAAACAAAGTTGGATTTAACTGACATCTCTTCCTGTCCATTAAATCATATTTGTACTGTTGAGTTCAATGAAAATGTGTACAGAATTGGCTTCGCACCCTATCTGGACCTAAATGCTTTGCTTTTTCCAAGAAACACTAACATTAATTAGATGCTGCTAATGTTGTTATAAATAAGCCTAATTGTGCTTATTTGGGTTTTACGTCAGCTGCTTCTACTTGGATTCCAGCTCAACTGTGACTTTTGAACAAGAAAAGGAGCATTGGGCTAAAATAAATTGATGTCGTGTTAAATTGAAATTCAAGGTTATAATTTTAAATCTTTTCCTCCTATCAACCTGATTTAATCCAAGTTAATTGTATTTACCCTATTGCTTTGTGGTAAATGGTGAATTTATATTGTGGCTCTCCCGTGGAAATATTCTGCAAGGTGTGTCTTACACTAGGCCTCTCAGTAAGACAGAGGCATCCTTGAAACTTGTCCAGCATTTATGACCTTGAATTATGGCCACAACTGAGCCCAAAATGTCCATTGCTAAGTGAGGCAGTTGTTAAGTGAATTGGGTCTCATTTTACGACCTTTTTGCCACTGTTGTTAAGCAAAATCACTGTAGTTAAATCAATCGTGTTCACTAAGGAAATCTGGCTTCCCCCATTGACTTTGCTTATTGGAAGCTGCCTGGAAAGGTTACAAATGGTGATCCCATGATCCTGGGACAGTATAATTGTTATAGATACATGTCAGTTGCCAAGTACCTGAATTTTGATCACGTGACCATGGGGATGCTGCAACGGTTGTGAATGTGAAAACAAGTCTTAAGTCACTTTTTTCAGTGCCGTTGTAATTTAGGTCGCTAAACAAAAGGTGGTAAATTGAGGACTACCTGTATGAAATATGTACTGTATTCTGCTCTATTACTGTACTTGTTTACATATAAGATTCTTTCTTCATTGGGAGCGGATTCAGGCAGAGGGTATCTTCCTCCCCTCTCTAGTTTGAAGGAATTCACATAGCTCCAAATCCTGTTTATTGTCCTGAGTGCAGAATAAAAGAAATTTATTTTTCTCCTATGCTTATTCCGAGAGCCAAATTGGTGTCCATTCCTCAGAACTTCAGTTATCCATGGAGAAGAATTTTCAGCTAAAATCAAATTGGGAAGTTTTTCAGGTAGTCCTTGACCATAATTGAGCCCAAAATTTATATTGCTAAGCGAGACAGTTAAATGAGCTATGCCCTATTTTATGACTTTTCTTGCGAGTTAGGTGAATCACTGCAGTTGTTAAAAAAGTAACAGTTAAGTGAATTTGGCTTCCCCATTGACTTTGCTTGCCAGAAGGTTGCAAAAGGGGGGCACATGACCTGGGACTGTGCAAATGTCATAAATGCCAGTTGCCAAGGTCTGAATTTTGATCACACGATGTTGCACTGGTCGTTAACTGTGAAAAACTCTCATAAATTACTTTTTTTCAGTACTGTTGTAACAGTCACTAAATGAAAAGTTGTAAGTCAAAGACTACCTGTAGTTTTACTAGTAAAATACTCATCCTTTGATGATAAGGGTAGTTGTCAACTTAAAACCATTTGTTCAGCAATGGTTTGTAGTATTATGTAGGGATCAAGTCTTTCTCTACTTGTACTGAACTACGACACACATATGATAACGTCTTTTTGTTGTTGCTTAATGTATTCCTTGGCAGTGCCTTCCCAGCTCTGGGACAGGCTTAAATGTTAAATGTCATACATGAGCAGCCATAAGAGCTATAAAATAGGTGGTTTCAAAAAAAAAATTCAGCCTGTGGAACTGATTAGTTAAAAAATAATTCCAGGAACTCTGATCAAGAGGCAATGCTCTAGTGATAACTGGCTGCACCTGAGTGAATTTGTGTGTGTGGGCATGCACATGCTCTTAGCTTCCCAAAGAAGCAGAGGATTTTGTGGGAAAGAGTTTCAAAAACTCTGGTATAAAATTTAGGAGGCTTTGTCACTCATTATCCATTCATTAACCTGAAAGGAAGTTAAATGATTGCAATGAGTTGGAAAGAGGCAATAGAGGCAGGTTAGGAATCAGCAAAGGGGGTAGGGAGCAACTTTTATGCCAGTCTAGTTTTCTGCTCTCATGAATGGCTGAGTAATACTTTAACTCATCAGTGGGAAATGGCCCACAGACAGCAGATAAGCAGTTTGCTCTGTTCAATTAGTATGAAGACGAAGAGCTACTTCTTCCCTTTGAGAGATTTACAATATTTATGTGTGATGCAGGCCTTTTGTGGTCTCATATGCTAATGCAACATGCTCCCAGTCCAACCCCTTGCTTAGCAATCCATAACTAGAGCATCTCCAGGAGATGGCCTTCCAGCCTCTGTTGAAATACTTCCAGGAAAAGAATGGCCACCATCTCTGGAGGCAGACTCTCCCATTGCTGAAGGTAGGAAATTTTAACTGATGACCTATCAAAATCTGCTTTCTCATAATTAAAACCAATTTTGTGTCTATTTTCTGAAATAATGCTAAAGAAATCTACTCTGTCTTCTCCATGACAGTTCTTCAGATACAGATGGTCCTTGTTTAGTGATTGCCTCGTACAAAAACCATTCAGTTACAACAGTGAAGAAAAAGTAACTCTGTGTGACCAGTCCTCACATTTACAACCTTCTTCTGTCTGTAATGCAAAGGAAACCTGAAGTAAAATCATAACTTCTGCTCAATGACCAAGTTGCCAAACCCAGATGTGGTCATTAAACAAGGACCATCTGTACTTGAACAAATAGCGCTCTTATTTTCTCCAGGCTAAACATTCTGAGTGCTGCCAACTACGCTTTTCCTTCCAAGATTCTTAGTATCTTGTTATTTTCCTCAAAACACACTTCAACTTGTCAGTGTCCTTCCCAAAATGCCATGCTGAGAACTGGACTCAATGATCCTTATATGGTTTTACCAACTTGAAGAGAGGAACAATGAATTACTAACTTGACAATCTACTGTTGATGCACGCTAACACCATGTCAACAGCTATATCAGTGTTGGTTCATGCCCTATTTAAGATTCACTAAAACATACAGTTCCTTTTCATATGTCCTGTTGCATACCCTACACATATGCTTTATTCACGAAAATGAAGGATTTTGCATTTGTCCTTGTTGAAACTGAAGTTGTTGAGATTTTCCTGAATCTTGATACTGGTTCCCAAGTTATTTGGTATATCACTCGTTTGTGTCATCTGCAAATCTGATAATCCTATTTTCTAAACCTTGTCAAAGCCAAGTATAGATAAGCTAAGCATTATAAAGCTAAGCATACGAACCCTGGAGTATAACAATGTAACATCTTCCAGTGTAATTCAGAGCCAATGGCATACGTTCTACATTTGTTAGACAAAATAACATTCTATTTTTTTATCCAACTAGTAACATAATTAATTCGGGAATATTTTCTTGAAGACTATGCATTCTTGTTTTTAATTGGCTGGTTAAAAGGTAATCAGTAACTTTATTACTAACATTTCCATCTTACTGCTTAACTTTACCATCAGGTGATGCTTAAAACCATGAATACAGAAGTAACCTATTCCACATAATGCTGAATTTAACCACATGTTTAAAGCCATGCTTTAGTTGTAGTTTGTAGTTCATCTTAATGAGCAACTTAATATGTTTGTTTTGCTAGGAGAAAGTTTTTTTAACGAAGTAACTTGCCTAAGCTTTACATGCAACTTGACATCCATAAGAGAGCAGATGTATCCAAAATAAGAGTATTAAAAAACAAGAAGGCAGTATCAATACTCAACATTCATTTTCCTTTGACTTGGTTAAATATTAAATGTTATTGTTAGGGCAGAGGAAAGCATTTTCCTCCTCATAGATGTTCACTGGTCTCCATAGAATGTTTTGTTGCATGAATGGGTAGAATTAATACTACACATACACAGCCAACACACACACATCTCCCCACTGGAAGTATAATAGTAATGGGATGGGGGGGGGGTTAAACCTTCTTTCCCCATTGATCCAGTTCTTTAAGCAAAAAATACTGCTCTTACAACTCTACTATTTTTAAGTATGACTTCATTATGTTCTTTGCAGTTCTACTGACAGTTGTTGTTGTTGGATTGGGCGGGAAGACTAGCCCGTGACCCCAGCCATAGAGTGGACATGCCTACAAATATTCCCAGTCTTTATGGTCAGGGAAAAATAAAACACTATTACAGAATATTCATTTCAGGAAACTGGATTTACTTGTGTTTATTCCACCAAAGGAAATTACCAAAAAAAAAAAAAAATCCCTCTGGCAGAATTATATTTGACCAGTTAAACATTCAACAGACATTTTGTTTATGTATATATATCTATAATTACAACATTCAAAATAGTAAGCATTCTTTCATTTTGTGCTTGGCAATCCAACTGTGAAGCTAAGTATCTTGAGCATCAAGAAATCTAGATCATCAATTAATATTTGATTTGGGGCACTCTTGTAGGGGGAGGGACAATAAGGCAAAATAAACTAAAAGCCCTACCATCTTAAACCTACTGTTATCTAAATTTTAAGAAAATAATTCTAACACTTGGAGAACAATCAACAGAGTTTGGGAGAGCTTTCCTATAAATCATAAATAGGAAATATTACCATCTATTTGCACAAAATCTTCCAGCCAAAATGATTATTTTGGCTGAATTTCCTCTTCCTAACTCACCCATTGCTTACTATTTTGTACATGTGTATGTTTATTGGCATGATTAAAAATTCACAGAAGCCATATGTAATGTGCGCAGAGACTTTTTTTTTGTCCCTTTTTTAATATGTGCATGGTCCTTCAGACAAGTTCATAGAGAGAATGGACAGGCTATATATAAAGGAGGGATTTAGGCAATTTTGTCACTTAAGTGGATGGATGAATCTCTTATGCCAGAGTTTCTTGTATGAAGACAAATCTACATTAAAGGAAAAGCAAAGGGCAAGCTAGCTTTTTGCAAACTCATATATCCTCAGCATAAACACTCCTGAGTGGTGTGTGAAATAGCTCTGTAATTTCTTTTTCAACAGAGTAAAATACTGTGGAAAATGGCAATAAACATTTCATTTTGGTATGCAACAATTCTGCTTCACTAGACCTTAGGTTGATGTAGAGTATAACTCATTCAATCATTTATACTTTATCAGTAAATAGTACCTGGAATTTTATCCTGTTTACTTTTGGTTAGTTTACCAAATTTGTACCAAAATTTATAAACTTGAAAACGGTGTCTGTGTGTGTGTGTGTGTGTGTGTGTGTGTGTGTGTGTGTGTGTGTAAAAGAAACCACCACCCTGGATTTGAGTATTTCACCAAAATTAATAATTTAAACACCTAATTGACATTGAAAAATTCAGTGACAGTGCAAGATGAAGAATATTTTAAAGCTTTTCAGTGCTTTTCTCTTTCTTCCATAGTCAACACCCACTATTTAATAGTAGCGATAAATCCACCAGTTTCTAAAATTTAATACTAATTTTGACAAGATGTCATTTGCATCAGTAGTGCTCCAAAACTACTTGGAGCCTGTTTTAGAACAAGAGTTTTCTCTTCTACATTTGGCAGTCTCTTTTCAAAGTACAATAATATTCATCATCATCATCATCATCATAAAAAAAAAAACGAGAGGGGGAACATGAAGCTTCATGGAAACTCAAGGTCCACTTATTACAAAAAAAATGCTACCATTTGTTACAAATGGTCAAGCAACAAATTAAATATCAGGGTTTTTTGCTCTGCTATTTTCTATGAAGTGCATTCTTTGGATCACCAGGAGTGTTAGTTGAATAAAGCTGAAGGTGACCTGGAGCAAATTTTCATAGGCCAGCATGAAATTTTATTATGCTTTGAGTGAATCAACCCGCTGGCTTTATATTTCAAGAAACTTCTCAGTTAATTGTTTTAGTCATACAGCTGCCATATCCATAGATTGGCAGGCCAAGAACAAGATTGAATACAATTATATTTTGAACTAGTTAGGCACGGTTTAAATAGCTGATATCCATACCAACCGAAACCACCATTTGTTGGCAATTTAGTTTCTCAAATGTTATGGAGTCAAGAGATACGTGCGAGTGTTTTCCCATTATATTCTGGAAACTGACAGTTCAGGATTGTCCGATGCTCAACCGAAGAGAGAAAATTAATAACCAATTATAGTAATTTAAGCAAGAATTCATAAGTTGCATTAATTATTCCCCAAGAAATCAGGGACCGGTGATAATTTAGATGGGCCCCTCGGAAGAGATGCGTCAGTTTCCTGTCACGCTCCAGCCAAATCTTCATAAAGACTGTGGAAAAAGACTGGAATTCCCCACCAATCTGTGATTGCATGCGGGCTTTGACAACATTCACAGGGAAAAACAGAAACCCCAACATAGCACCCAATACCCCTCCACATATAAAATCATTGATCAGATGAGTACTGTAAGTTGTTGCTTCTGGTAGGCATTGCTTGATGGGCCCTCGCAGGCCAAAAAAGAGAGCATTGCTAGGACCATTCCGAAGTAGGATTGGCACCAAGCCCCGATAATATTCCTTGGCCCCATGCTCTCGAAGAACTCTGAAAGCTTGGTAGGTGTTTGTAAATTTGTCATGATGTTTGTAGTCCTGCAGAAGTGTCTGCACACGCTCAAAAGGGGTCAAGACAGCTTCTGTGGTCCCAGCAAGCACAGCTGCTAAGCTCCGGGCAAAGATTTCAGGTGCACTTATGTGTCTGAGGAGCACAGAAGACAAATCTTCATATAGGCCAAACATCAATGCCAACGTTGTGCTCTTCTGCATCAGCGGAGGAAGGATACCTCGGTACAAATTTCTGATTCCATCTTTCTGTAGCTGACATATTGCATCTCTGGTTCGTACCCCATACAGCTGTTGACGAAAGAGGACTTTCTGGATTGGGAAAGTTATTGCAATGTTTGTAATGGCTGCACAATAACCACATAAGTAATGTTTGCCTGAGTTAACTTTTACAATGCGATTACCAGTTTGATCTGCCTTTGCCTTTTTAAGCAAAAGGTCTTCTGAATCCGCCATGCTGCTTGTTGTGTTCTCACATAGGTATTCTCTTCTCCTATAAGAAGCAAAGGTGATTGAACAAAGCCAAAATCTACTTGTCTTCATTTCAGGTTAAAAAAAAATAACATTAAGAGGTTTAACTTGCCTCTTCATTAGTTTTCTGAAAAGACTCTGTTTTATGCTAAGTTTCAGAGAACATCCTACTTCAAAAGTACTATGAATATGTTTTCAATTTCTGCTTTCCTTGTAATAAATAAAGCATAAATAAAGTAATAAATAAAGTGAAAATATTTTTATAGCTTGCATTATAAAAGATTTGAAAATATTTAATTTCCAGGATCTCAGCCAACCAATTGATACTATACTCCTTCCCAAGGGACGTACCATTTCTCTTTCTTCAGTGTCTTCTCAACTGAATTAATATTTAGACATTTTATATATAATGCCTATCAGCATTTTACAATATACCTCATTCCGGCAACAGCTCCCTTATTCCCTTTAGTAATAAATTAATTTCATTAAAAAATAAAAACATTTTGACTTCCACAGAGCTAGCCTGTCCTTTAGATTCAAATAAAATAACAGATGCAGAGACACAATTGAGATTTCCAACATCTTTAAAAAATTAACCAGCCTAAAGAACTTATTTTTCTCCAATTAATGAAGAATGAAAAAACAGCAAGCCAAATTAAAGGAAAAAATAAAATAAAAATAAGGGCCTAATGTACTTGTTTGCTTTTGTTTTGCCTTATTAAAACTTGTTTTCCTTTTTTGTCAACTCATTTTATTCAGTCAAATACATTATACTAAAATATGATTTAGCAACAGCTAGTGACTAAGTCTGCATTTATTTAAATTTTCCAAATACTTATTTCTTATCTTGTTTTATCCTGTCTACCTTAATTTCTTATTTTTGTTTTATTTTTTATGTATCCCTAAGTCAGTGTTGACTCCTGACAAACTGCCTGAACTAGTCCCTGCAATTTTCTTGGCAAGGTTTTTCAGAAGTGGTTTGCCATTGCCGTTTTCCTAGGGCTGTGGGATATTGGCCCAAAGTTACCTAGTTAGCTTTGTGCTTAATGTGGAACTAGAACTCGTGGTTGCCCAGTTTCTAGTCTGGTGTTTTAATCGCTACACAAAACTGGACCATTAATACTTATTATCAGAGTGGATAAAAATCGATGATTTAAAAAAAAATAATCAGATTTTTCAAATTTAAATCAGATTTTTTTGATTTTATCAAATTTGTTTTAATTAAATGCTTTTGGAGTAAAAATCTAATGATAGTTTTTTATTTAAGATACATTAATAATTTAGTTTATTCAGCATAAAATGGAACTTAGTTCTGTAACATGAGGCTGCATATTCTGCAATATTTACATTTTTTGTAAACTCATTCAATGAATCCAAGCTCTGCAAGCTAAATAGGAAACCTTCGTTTTGTTTGCAAATAATAATAAAGATTCTAACTACCAGCAAGAATGAGTCCTTAATTTAAAGAGTACCTGTCATTTCAGTTCCATCATGGCAGCGCCTGTTAGCGGGCATCCATTCACCTGCTGCCACCACGTCCCTCACCTTGTTGTGTCACTGCCGCATCACCAGGCATCCCATTAAAGTGAATGGGACTGTCCGGTGAGTCAACAGCGGGTCAGAAGAACCGCTGCGGGACAGAGATGACAGTTGCTTTTTAAAAATTATGATTTAAATCGAGTTGATTTAAATCAAGCCTTTTTACTAGTGATTTAAATCAACTTGATTTAAATCATATCCACCTTGATTATTATTCAATGTAAAAGAAGGGAGTAAAGTCAGTCAGTCCAATGGAGAAATAGATATATGCACAACATTTAAAGGGAAAAACTCCACAGGTGTTGCACTTTTTTTTTTGCTATCTTTCTGCACTTCACTCAGCTAAACAAATAGATAAATTGCTTCAAATCTACTCTTGTTCTAAGTTTCATTTTCTGGTTTTCCTTTCCCAACCTTGAGTAAATACCTATCCTTTTTTTCTTTAAAGAAATATCACTTTCAAAAAAAAGAAGGATGAAGACATCCTAAATTCTAACCACCATGGTCAAGAGAGAATGGAGATCCTTTAGTTGCAGAATAATGCTCCTCCCACTAAGGCACCTATTGTACTGATTAGTAATGAGGAGAGGTGCAAACTTAACTACTACACATTTTCTACTCATTATTTAGCAATTATATCTGGACCAATCAAGACCAGAAACACTGGTATTTTTAGTGTTCTGAGTATGAAGGTATTCCTACTACAACTTTCTGCAATGGTGAAGCCAGTTGTAATATGCTGTATTACAATATTATAAAAATTAACAAATGTTTAGCTGGTTGGCCTGCATATTGCAAAAACCAGGACTGCTTCAATGTAGGACAATTGAAAAACTGTAGTTAAATACAGAACATAGCTGGTTAGGTGATATCTCTGACAATATATAATACCTAATGGAACAAATTCCTTGAAGTTTATTTCTGAGATCAATCTGAAATGCTATCCTCTTCTTTTAAAACTTAAGGAATCTCAGCTTTCCTTGTATTCTCCATTTTCTTCTAATGAAGCAAGACATGATATTAGAATGAGGACTTTTTCTAATGTGACATCTTAAGGAGTTCAACTGGAGCCTACATTCATTTTTTCGCACTGCCAGACAAATATTGTTTTGTCTTCCTATGTGTTATCTGTATAAACTTTATCATCTGCAATATCAATAAATAAAACTGTCATGGTAACCAGGTAATCTGGCAAAGAAACCTGGATTATGCAGTAGCCTGAAATGCAAACCATTTCAACTTTTTGCTTTTTTATGGTTGAATTACCTTTATTTTCTCTATTAAGTAATTAACATTTGTTGCATAAGTCTTCTGAGCTGTCTGTAAACCTGCCTTTCCAGCCACATTCCTGTTTGCCCAAAAGCAGGTCATTAGCAATCATTTTAAATCTTTCTCTTACATTTCTTTTTACCCATTTTCTTCATGTTTTCATTTTCAAATTCTCCATGGAATTTCCCTGAAGCTTTCTCCCTCTCTCTCATTTCCTAATTTCAATTCAACAAAAAAATAAAACACAGAAGTTTTATCCCATGTCAGTTTAGCACTAGAAGAGACTAATTTAGGAAAAAATAAAAAGATAATGGAAATGGGAATATTTTCTGGCAAATAAACCCAGAATTGGAAGCTAGCATAATATAAGGCTGGATTTTGAAAAAGAGGAAATATGTGCACCAGGGGCACGTATTCATTAAAAGCTACCATAGTTTGTAGGTTAGTTTATCCAAGCTGCTTTCTCAGACAGCATCACCTGCCAAGATGTGATAATAATAGCTTAAAAGAAGATAAGTTATCAAAATTGTTTGTATTTGTCCACATGAGGGGGGAAGTTACTTCTTTCTTTTTTGTGTGTTTGTATTCTTTATTTTACTTTAATTGTAATCTTAATAAAAATACATATGGAAATAAAAGTGTGATAACAATAGTCTACATTGGGGTGCAAACTTTATTATAAGGAAGCCATCATAGTGAAAATGAGATAATTACCTTTCCTATATGATACAAAACAAGGTTTTCTCTGTATAAGTAGCATTCTGGAGCAGGTCTTCAAACTGTTCTGCCTAAAAAGGAATAAATAGTCTTGTTTTATTTGGCTGCAAAAATTCAGCTGGCGAGAAGATGGCAGCAAAGACATAAAAAATTAGCTCTACTGCTTCTAGTGCTCATCATTTGTTTACTTAAAGAATATTTAATTGATACTTTAGCTTTTGCCTGTATTTACTCAATTCACCATCTGCATTTAAAATATCCTATCAGCTTCTCTACAGCCACCATGGTAAACTTTCCCTACTATTTGGGTAGGGAAAAAACTTCCTGCAACTTTCTTCTTGAGCATGATGAAGATTTTTAATGAGTATTGTCATAATACAGAACCCCAAATCACATATTTTTACAATTTGAAGAGGTTTTAAATGCTACATAATTGAATAATATTCCAATTACACTATCCAGCCTCTGCAATCAAGCTGGTATTATCTAACATTTAGCTAAAACTTTTCCTTGCTCTTTTCACCCAATACTTATATTCCATCATAACGATATTGGCTTTCCACTATATAGCCTAAGAAGCAAGTAGAGAAACTCTTGCTATTTTGTCTTTTATCAATGCTTTTGACAACATGCTTCTTCTTGATGTAAATTTAAAATAAATGGTTACATATATTAATATTTGCTATTTATTTGTTATGATTTACTTAAACTGTACATGCTTTATATTTCAAATATAAGCTAAATATATATTTTAGAAAGATCTTTGAATTCCAGGAATTTCAAAAATATTCTCAGTCACTGAAATACTATAAAGTAACTCAGTAACATAATCTCAGTATTATAAAGATGAAGTAAATATGATTTGCCCATGAAATATTAAAGCTTCACACAGCTTAAAATTATAAGTATTATATTGTACAACTATTAGTTCCCTCCCCCAAACAAATATACTAATATTTCCAACTCCATGTTAGAACTACCCTTTTATTTAGCCTATATACATCCATTATTAAACCTGAACAAATTTTGAGATCTTGCATATTTTTGCAAATTTGGAGTTGGTATAATATATAATATTCTATTGGGATGCAAATATGTAATTTCTTTCATAGCCATCACACTTTTATATTACAGCATCCAATTAATTATATATAATAGGCCCTATAGTGCAAACGAAAGTGAAAATCCCTACTATAAACAATCCTTAGCAATTCAAAACTTAGCATGGTAAATATATATCAAATTACCAGATGTACACCAGGAAAAAGATTTTTAAAAAATGCTTATGCTTATTAAATTAACGGGTGCTTATTAACATTATTAAATGCTTATTAACGGGTGGCGACTGTAAGGCTAAGATCCCATACATACATTATGCACATATACAGTACGCACATATTTTGGGCTCATGTATGAAGGCATTTTGCAACTGAATAGAAATGCATTTGATTTGGTCCCTGCAAATTTTGGGGTTGCCATTTTGGGAGCTCATACGTATTTATACAAAAAATACCAAGGGAAATTGAGTAAATACAAATTTAATAAAATGAAAATGAAATGAAATGAAATAAATGTTTCGAGGGCCGCGTTGTTTAACCTCGCCGCCGTGCTTTTCAAAGTAAAACGGGCGGCCAGGTTCATCCCATTTTTTACCCTATACCGTCTTTCCACGCCCAAGAGAAGCAATTCAGGCTAGCAAAATAATAATAATAAAAATCAATTAATAAATAAAGCGAAACGCCACTATAAAAGGCGGGATGCAATCCTGTTTGTGGAGGGATCAATATATTAACAAGAGTCCGGGATTGGTTAACCAGAAACGCCCTTATCTTCCCCGCCCTCCCTTTGCCCCGAGGTCAGCCGCGAACACCTGCGGAACAGCCCGGGCTCCTTCCCTTCCCCTCCGTATCTCCATTTTGCCCGCCTGCTCTTTTGCATGCTCGCCTGCCGTCTTTTCTTTCTCCTTCCGCCACCTTCCTCACCTCAGCTACTCCTCACCAATCCCCGCCAATTCACTGACCCGCGCGGGCTTCCTTCATGGCGGCGGCGGCGGAGGAGGAGGCATCGCTGCTCCTCACGCGCACGTTACAACCGAGGCAGGCAAGACCCCCTGAGCGACGCGCAGCGGCCTGAAACTGACAGGAGAAGTTCCCCTCCGCCCTCAAGCCCGGGCCGGCCGGGGAAAAAAAAAAAATCAGTTCCTTTCGCCACGCCCTCTCCCGCGCGCCGCAGAGACGAATGACGCCACCAAACGAAGGGCACGTGACCGGCGTCCTCCAATCCGCTCGCTCGCCTTCCGCGGAAAGGCCGGGTCGCTGGGGGGCGTTGGCGATCCTTCAAGCGAAGGAAAGAAAGCGGGTTGGGCTACTTCTCCTTTCAGGAAGAAGGCGGGCGGGCTGAGTCGGGGCCGCTCTAGCGAAGGGGAGAGAGGGAGGGGAGGGGAGGGCTTCCTGTTTTGCCTGATTGGAGGAGGCGGGCGCGGGAGGCGAATTCTGTATTCGTTAAAGGAGCCGGGTCTCGCCGGTTCTATCCCTGAGAAGGATGAAGTGGAGGGCGGGGGGAGTAGTGACAGACTACAGTAGGGTTCCGCAGTGATCAGTGTCGACCTCCAAGAGTCAATAAAGGGCTGGGAGCAGTGGTAAAATGCAATTTTTTTTACTACCGGTTCTGTGGGTGTGGCTTGGTGGCGTGGCAGGGGAAGGATATTGCAAAATCCCCATTCCCATCCCACTCCTGGAGGAAGAATATTGCAAAATCCCCATTCCCACCCCACTCCTGGGGGAAGGATATTGCGAAATCTCCATTCCCACCCCACTCTGGGGCCAGTCAGAGGTGGTATTTGCCGGTTCTCCGAACTGCTCAAAATTTCTACTACCGGTTCTCTAGAACCTGTCAGAACCTGCTGGATTTCACCCCTGGCTGGGAGAAAAAAGAGAATAGGGGGGTCAGTAAATGGTTGATAAATGATAAAAGGTCATTAGATCAGTTGTCTGTAAAACTCCACTCCAGTCCTTCCAATCTTGAAAAAAAAATGGCTAGAGATGAGGCGGTGTTACCCAAGGTTGGATGGTCAGCCACCAGCAAGAGTCCATCATCCCAGAGTCAGCCAGATGTTCAGACTGGATTTGGCATTTTTAATCCACCTATCCTATCCAGTCCTTCCCAAGGCAGATGTGGATGTTTTATGGTGTTAGAGATGTAGCATCGCAAGATATATGCTGTTCTGAGTAAAGCTGCTTTTTGAAATTGACTTAACGGTGAACTTGTCAATGCCGATGGGTGTTCAAGTGGTGGTCTAGTCTTTTTGGAGATGCACCCATGACACCTATGGCTATTGGCACCACCTTTGCTTTCTTTTTTCAGTTGTTCTAGTTCTATTTGTAGGTCTTTGTATTTTGTTATCTTCTCTGGTTCTTTCTCTTCTCTTCTGCTGTCTCCAGGCCTTGCCACATTCACTAACCAGACTTTTTAAATTATTATTTGTAGTACTATTAAAGTATTAGTTATTAAATTATGTATTAAATATAATATTTGAGTGTCGATGAACAAGCCAAAGCTTCATGAAGGGTTGGATGAGCTTAAGAGTTTGGGGACCCCTGTTAGGAAGTTGATTTAGCATTAACTGGTTAGCTTCTTAAAAGGCTGTTTGGGTGTGGATTTGTGTTTAAAAGATAGAAAATCGCTCCACTACTTCTGCAGAGCAGTCAGACAAAGAATGAAGAGGCTCCTGCTCTTCCCAGATGGCACTTTGTTCAAGGCATCTGTTGAAATGGACATGCATGCAAGCAACCACAGACACTGTAATAATGTTAGTCTATAAAGAACCATGAAACCACACAATCCATTACATTATTTATATTGTGCTCGGGAAATAATTGTACAAAAAAAAATTATAAATACACAGTAAAAATGATTTACGAAACTGAAAAGAAATAAAGTGTGTTATTTGCCTGTTAGGAAAGATTTCTAAAATATGTCCTTAAAATATTATTTATTTGAAATGGCTTATGACATTGAATAATAAAGCTACTATTAGAAGATCCTGTGTGTAGAAATGTACTTCCCAATGTTACTTTCTACAGCGTCACCCCAAAATAGTGTATAGTAATTCTTTTTTTAACTTTAAGAAAAAAATTACTGTAAATACTGATTCGTTCCCATAAATGCCCATCTCTGACTTCTAAGAAAATAATTCATTTTTTTAAAAAAAAAATCAGAGATGTCAGCTATTGTTTCACATGAGGGCAGGGAAGGGAAGGGAAGGGAAGGTAGAGGTCTCAGCCCAAAATCCTTCAATCCCATTTCTCTTTACACAATACTGTCATGTGTATTTCTCAAAAAACGGGAGTAGCAAAGTTCATCAAAAAAATCACATGAGGAAATCACTGACATACACATATACAAACAGACAGACAATGCCCAGCAAATCCCACTTCATAACAAACATAAGTAAACCAAGAGAGTACATGGGTGGGTATTCCTACTCCTACTGGGTAGTTCAATGCTCCTACCTCTTATGAAGAAAAAAGGTAGCTCCTTGTATATGTTATAGATCACGATTATAATACAGTTCCTGAAGTATAATGTAACCATTAAAGATTGTTACCTTTCCCCTATCATCTCTTGTTGATGGATGCAGAAGGCCCATGTTATCCCCAAATTTGATTTCAGGGTGGTTTATAATCTGATTTGCATGAAAGAGAGACCGGACTATTATCTTCCTGTTGTACTTATTATGGGTAATTTGCAGTAATGTTATTTGGATGAGGGCCTAGTTTGTCAGTTTTCATAAAAGATATAAATCGCATTTTTTCCATGATATTGTCCTTGCTTGGACAATTTGGTTACTTAGAGGATCCTGCTTTCCACACTGAAATAGATACGGTATCTCATCAGTTCCTTCATTAATACAACCTTAGAGATTCCTATTTTTTTGCCATCACACCTTCCTTTACTGTAATCTTAATGTATACTGCTCCCCTAAAAATACAAACGACAACATGGACACAAATGAACAATAAATATATATATATAATTCAATTTCAGGGAAGCTGTAAAAATTTATAACTAAAAGGTTCTTTGCACCTCACCTGGACTCTGCACTGCCACAAGGGAGGTACACCTCACAGTTTGGGAACCCTGCTCTATGCTAATTTTCAGAAATGTCTTTAGATTATTTGAATTACTGAATTTCCTTGAAAAGGGTTATTTAAATGAAATATACTATGTTCTGTTTGGAGGGAATATATAAAATGGTAACTGATTTTATTATATTAATTACACTGCTGATTTGCCTTGCCAAAAAGAGATTCTGCTATTGATGAATGTTAGTGGAGATTTCAGAAAATCAAAATCTGTTGCCGTGCTTGAAGTCTGATGCTTGCATTTTGACCATATTTGTTCCCCGTTGTCTTTGGGCAGGAACATTTCTAACTAAGCGCTGCATTCCAGCCACTCATAATGTTTACTTTATAAAAATGCCGCAGGGCTCAAGTGAGGCTCTGAGGTAGTCTTGGAAATAAAGATGTGTGTCTGAATGTTGTTGGTTTATATTATAGTAGTTTCTTATTTAAGATATATCTCTTTTAGCTTTAAAAATATTTTAAAAGAGTTTAGATTAATGTGCAAAGAAAGCTTTGCATGTGAAGGATTTGTCTGCAGACACGCTGATATTGGAGACTTAAAAGGCTCATAAGTGCAAAATGCATTGTATTAGTATAATGTAAAAACAAGGGGACAATAAGATAAACACCAACTTGATGGCATTTAATCAAATCAAACAAAAAAACAAATGCAAATGATTTTAGTCTAGATCTAGAATCTAGATTCTAGTCAAGCAATCTTTCTTTCTCAGTGTTAAAGTTAAACATTTTACTAAGAAAGTTAAGTTGAAATAAAATTATAATTACTGCTTGTATAAAACAAACAAAAATATGAGGAAAGATGGACTCCCCTAAAAGAAATGTCAATTTATTGATAGAAAAGGTCTTTATGTCATCTATTGCACCTATCTGGCCACTGTCGAAATACTTATTTTGGATAAACTCCTGTGAGCACCATATGTTTATCGAACACAATAGAGAAAAGCATGTCTTACGAATATACACTGCTCAAAAAAATAACACTTAAACAACACAATGTAACTCCAAGTCAATCACACTTCTGTGAAATCAAACTGTCCACTTAGGTAGCAACACTGATTGACAATCAATTTCACATGCTGTTGTGCAAATGGAATAGACAACAGGTGGAAAGCATAGGCAGTTAGCAAGACATCCTCAATAAAGGAGTGGTTCTGCAGGTGGTGACCACAGACCACTTCTCAGTTCCTATGCTTTCTGGCTGATGGTTTGGTCACTTTTGAATGCTGGTGGTGCTGTCACTCTAGTGGTAGCATGAGACGGAGTCTACAACCCACACAAGTGGCTCAGGTAGTGCAGCTCATCCAGGATGGCACATCAATGCGACCTGTTGCAAGAAGGTTTGCTGTGACTGTCAGCGTAGTGTCCAGAGCATGGAGGCACTACCAGGAGACAGGCCAGTACGTCAGGAGACATGGAGGAGGTCATAGGAGGGCAACAACCCAGCATCAGGACCGCTACCTCTGCCTTTGTGCAAGGAGGGACAGGAGTAGCACTGCCAGAGCCCTGCAAAATGACCTCCAGCGGGCCACAAATGTGCATGTGGCTGCTCAAACAGTCAGAAACAAACTCCATGGGGGTGGTATGAGGGCCCGACGTTGACAGGTGGGGGTTGTGCTTACAGCCCAACACCGTGCAGGATGTTTGGCATTTGCCAGAGAACACCAAGATTGGCAACTTCACCACTGGTGCCCTGTGCTCTTCACAGATGAAAGCAGATTCACACTGAGCACATGTGACAAACATGACAGGGTCTGGAGACGCCGTGGAGAACTTTCTGCTGCCTGCAACATCCTTCAGCATGACCAGTTTGGCAGTGGGTCAGTAATGGTGTGGGGTGGCATTTCTTTGGGGGGCCGCATAGCCCTCCATGTGCTCGCCAGAGGTAGCCTGACTGCCATTAGGTACCGAGATGAGATCCTCAGACCCCTTGTGAGACCATATGCTGGTGCGATTGGCCCTGGGTTCCTCCTAATGCATGCAAATGCTAGGCCTCATGTGGCTGGAGTGTGTCAGCAGTTCCTGCAAGACGAAAGCATTGATGCTATGGACTGGCCCGCCCATTCCCCAGATCTGAATCCAATTGAGCACATCTGGGACATCATGTCTCACTACATCCACCAATGCCACGTTGCACCACAGACTGTCCAGGAGTTGGGGGATGCTTTAGTCCAGGTGTGGGAGGAGATCCCTCAGAAGACCATCCGCCACCTCATCAGGAGCATGCCCAGGCGTTGTAGGGAGGTCATACAGGCATGTGGAGGCCACACACACTACTGAGCCTCATTTTGACTTGTTTTAAGGACATTACATCAAAGTTGGATCAGCCTGTAGTGTTTTTTTCCACTTTAATTTTGAGTGTAACTCCACATCCAGACCTCCATGGGTTGATAAATTTGATTTCCATAGATAATTTTTGTGTGATTTTGTTGTCAGCACATTCAACTATGTAATGAACAAAGTACTTACTAAGAATATTTCATTCATTCAGATCTAGGATGTCTTATTTTTGTGTTCCCTTTATTTTTTTGAGCAGTGTATTTCAAGCAAACTTTATTGTTCCTGTACTGTTCTACCTGTACTGTGTAACCTTAACCTGAGCAGCTTTTCAATTTTGTAAATATTTTCTAACTTAAAGATAAATCCCTTCAGCACATCTCAATGCATGTTTACTTGGAAGCAGAGACTTCCAGGAGTTTTTAATCTGGGGCTGAAACCCCAAAATGTAGGTTTTACTGCCATCTGGTGGCTTCTTCGGGACCCCAGAAATCATGTGATCGCAATGCTAGAGCTACTGAGGAGATGTTCTCCCTTTTTCCTCCGCCTTCCTTCCCTTGTAAGATCTCTATGATCTGAACGCGCTGTGTGCGCGCTGGAGCAAGGGGAGTGGCTCCCGTCCCCGGGTGTTTTCCTTCGGGCTCGCGCTCTGATAGTCGCGAGCAGAGTGGGTAGGATACTGTGGGAAGGCGAGGCAGTGGATTCCGCCTGAACCATAAAAAGAAGGCGGGCTCCGCAGAGTTGTGATCGGGATCGGTTTGTGGCTATGCTTGCTCATCTGTAAGTCCCATGGAAGAGAGTGAGACTTTGATTAAACTTGCCTAAGGATAGGCTTGCAGAGAATATATACTTTACTTAAGAGGTTCCTGCTGTTGATATCCTAGTGTGTTAATTATTTTGGATTAATGCCGGGTTAAAGCTTTCTTGCTGTTGTGTATGGGATGGGAGCGGAAGACAGACTCCGGTCAAAAAGCACCTTATTTATTCCATAATAATCGTGCCACAAAACTTTGGGAGGCTGGCTTTCACCTACTCCTGAACGGCAGAAAAAATTTTTTTTAAAAAATGGGCAATGCAGGATAGTTTCTTCTGGGACCTTTTGCCTGCCTCTGGTGGTCTCTTGCTCAAGCAGATCTGGATCTCAGGGTCTAAGCATGCAGGGTTTTTGGATTCATTTTAAAAGTGTTTGTGTGCTTTCGATCTGTTTAAAGTTAAAATGCCCTTGAATAGATCTGGAGATTGCAAGAGTGTGTAGTTTTCCTGGATTGGTTTAAAAACCTGATGATCATAACAACGAAATGATACTTTCAGCATTTTATAATAAATAGTTTGTGTGATAAAGTAGAAGTTAATGAATCTTATATGTTACCTTCCATCAGTAGAATAGAAGTCGTTGGTGGAATGAATTTACCTCTTTCTGTGTACCATCCAAATCTGCAGATTTGGGTGATGTTTGGTGCAAGGGATAGATCAGGGTGGGATGGAGAATCCTGTTGAATTTGTGGTGTTTTTTCATGTGAAGTTGAATTTGGTTCACTCTTTGTTACTGTGTTCAGGCTGGTGAGCTGAACTCTCACTTCTGCTCCCTCCTCTAATGCCTCTGAATTACATTTGAAAAAGCTCTTTATATGCAGATCGTACTAATTGCTTTTCAGTTTCTATTTATAAATGGTGTTTCAAAAGTTTTAAATTCACAGATACACCTAATTCATGCAGTCACAAATTAACAAAAATCAACTCGCAAGCAAAATACAGTGAAGGGACATACATACCAGGGCTAATTAAATTCCTATATTACATGACAATTTTTATGGGCTTTGGACAATAAATAAAAATATGGGAATTATTTGTGATGGAAAACCATGAACAAAATGACAAAACCTGAAAAAAGTAGACAACACTGTTCTGTATGAACTACTTTTCTGGATATATTTTCAGGTTTAAAAGAGTGAAATCCAAAATAGTTATGGTGGGACCCTTGAAGACCGATAATTCTGCTCCCTTTTTTCATCACAAGTATTTGAATGAGCCAGTCTCAACCTGGTCCAGTTGAATCTCTTTGGGAAGAAAGTAAATCCAGAACAGTGAACTGTGAAGCTGTGCAGCATCTGATTTCCTCTGCTGTTTTGAGATTAATTTCTTGGACATGGCATCCAAGCAAATTCTCTAGCTGCAGGTTAGATCCTGATGGCTGTTAGAAGCCACTTGTTTAATATATGATCTAATTATACAGAAAGCCATTATTTTGGTCAGCTTGTATCCTCTCTCTCCTTCAAGTCTCTTGTGTGTGTCAAAAAAGCTTTTGTCTCTCTTCTTTTCTATGAAAGGTGTTGTTTAATTCTGCATGACCTTTTCAGGTGTTTACCATGTTTCTTCTTCACAAAACTCCTTGGAAGAGAAAGCACACTGTAGGTCAAAAAGATTTGTGAGTTCTCTCATGTATAGGACAATCTGGGAAAAAAATCCTGGTTAGTGTCCATCCAACATTACTACTGCCTCATCTGTAGCAGAATTGCTTCTTTCCATCTGTGCTTTTAAACAGCCAAGTGTCAGGTTTGCCAGAAACCTCAAACACAAAAATCACTGGTTGCAAAGCAAGGTTGTAATACAAAGCTGAATCCAAAGCTTAGAAATGCAAAGTGGCAATTGTAACACGTGTGTGTATATGTGTTTGTGTGTGTGTGTGTACTCTGAAAAGCAGACCTTTTTCAACTCAATATTCTCCAGTTGGGTTAGAGGGTAATTCCCCAGAATCCAAGCAAGCCTAATGGGAATTGTAGTCTGAAACGTCTGTGGATTGAAACGAATTCTGCCCTAAGAGCGCTTTTGCAGAAGAGAAGTACACAGACAAGTGGCTGAAGAAAATTACTTAGATAATTACAGGTAGTCTTCAACTTGCAACCATTCATTTAGTGACTGTTCAGAGATACAACAGCACTGAAAAAAGTAACCTATGATCATTTTTCACACTTATAACAATTGCTGCATCCCCATGTTCACCTGATCACAATTCAGACACTTGGCAATTGGCTTATATTTATGACGGTTGCAATGTATCAGGATCATGTGATCCCCTTTTGTGACTTTCTGGGAAGCAAAGTCAATGGGGAAGCCAGATTCATTAAATAATGTGCATTTTATTTATTATCTTGTTATTTCCATTACAATTAGTATTGTAGATGTTGCTACAATAACACATCTCTAAGTGGTTGAGAAACTCATTTTGGCTCTCATGAAAAACATTCAGAGTTAAAATAGCACACTGCCAAACAGATGGCGGCAAAGCATCTTTATCTTCAAAAGAGTCATATTTTAAAACAGCTTTTTGCAAGATGACTAGAGCTGAGAATCTCGGGTGGGGAGGGAGCTTGTTCCATTTGGTTAGCAGCAATAAAAAGCATGGTGTATATGTGTGTGCAACATTTTATGTTTTTTTTCTGGAAGATAACTAAAAAAGTTAATTTCTCTCTTAAGCAGATGTGTCCAACTTGTGCCACATCCAACCTTGGACAGCTAGTAAATAAGAAATGTAATGCAAAGCAATGCAATGCAATGCAATGTAATGTAATATAACTGTACGTATGTCTGTCTGTCTCTGTCTTGGGCTGTGGCTGTATGTGTATATACATAGATACAGACTTACATACATACATATACATACATATACATACACACACACACACACACACACACACATATATATATATATATGCAAATGCAAATGCAAATGCAAATGCAAATGCAAATGCAAATATATATACATAGATAGCCTAAGACAGTTCCTCTTCACTTCCCCTAGCTCAGGCAAGCCAAAAGGTTGGATATCAGTGAGCCATAGAGAACTCTGTGTCATATAAAAGCTGGTGTGTGTGGGTACAATACAGTTTCAATGACAAGTTTGCCTAAAGGTAAATATGCAGAGTTGACACATTTGTACTACTGTACTATTTTTTAAATTAAATCAGAATCTGATCAGGTAGGGATTTTCTCCACAGTTGAGCGTGCATTATATATGCTTCTGTTTATTCAGCTCCATTTATCTCCATGTGGCTGAGTCATAAACAGTTTTAACAGCATATTCTTTGCACAATGGTTTGCTGTTACTATTTATAATGTGCAAGATCACAAATTGCCTTTGAAGGTATATTTATTTCTCAAGGTTTTGTTTTCAATCCCATAGCTACAGGAGCAAATCATCTTGATTTGAAACAGGTCTACCATCAGGCCCATCCTCCTTATGCAAGTACAGAGTAGGTCTTTGAATTTTCATCAGAGATAAAAAAACAAAAATACCAATTGAAATGTATTTCATACCATGCAAAATCAGGGGTGAAATGCTACCGGTTCGGACAAACCGGTATTTCCGACAATCAGCTGTGCTGCGTGAATTGTACTTGCTAGAAAGCAAGAAATCCTGCTTTCTAGCGAATCTAAATCGTGCGGCATAGCTGTTTCCCCCCCCCTTGCTGTTCTACTTACCTTAGAAAAGGCTTCTTAATCCTTCTTTTTCAGCACTGCGCGGTAGCGCCTGCAGCGCACATGTGTGTGAGATGCATGTGTGCACGCAACAAACCGGTAGCGAACTGAACCAGTAGCAGACTTCAGACCATTTCATCCCCAATGCGAAATCAAGTATATTTAATACAGCATGTGCTCTTCTGCCAGCAGCAATTACACTTCCTGAATAATTCAAGGGAGTTGTATGTATGATCAGTCTATGTCAGCGGTTCTCAACCTGGGGATCGCGACCCCTTTGGGGGTCGAACAGCCATTTCACAGGGGTCGCCAAAGCCCTCTCTCGCCCCCCCCCCACGCCTTCACCCACCCTCACTCTCTGCTCTGTTGGATCGCCGGCCATTCGCTTACCCCGCCCACTCCCAATCTATTGCTGCCTCCTGAGTCCCAGCTGATGGCTAGAGGAAAAAAACCTGTTTAAATTCTTGCCACGGGGCTTTGTTAAATTGCTGGCTCGCCCCGCCCCTCCGCACCACTATTTATTGCCAATAAATAGTGGTGGGCGAGGGGCGGGCGAGCCAGCAATTTAACAAATGGTTCGGTGTTTTTTTGTAATTTTATTGGCCCTGGAGCTTCAGCATAGGCTAATTAGCCCTTGATTAGATCGGCTCCCGACTCTCAGATGATTTGTCTCAGCTGTTTTGCTCAGGGCTCTGCTGCTTGTTTGCAAAGAGTCCTGGAGCAGATTTTTTTCCCCTAGCTATGCTGAAAAACAAAACTGAAACTGCTTTGCTGTTGCTGCAACGTTGAAATATTAGGCAGGCAGATTTCTTTTCTTTTTCCTCACCAAAAAAGGTAGGTGCAAACAATGGGAAATTTAGGGAAAAAGAGGAGAGTTCAAGATTTTAAAACACAAAAGAAAAAAAGCTCTATTTAAGTAGGGAATTGTAATAATTGAGATACTATTAATTGTATATTGTGTTGAAAGCAGAAATGGTTAAGTTGTGATTTGGAGGAATATATGGGGGAAATTATTTGGTTTATTATTATTGGTAAATATAATTAATTGATTTGTAAGAAATTGGATTGCATGGAAATAATTGGAATATTCATGTTCATATTGATTAATATACAAAAAAGGTAGTTATATAACTAATTGATTTATATTAAAGTGTTGAATTTATATTAAACAACTGTAATATCACATAATTAACCAATGTGAGCATGGATATAAAAATAGATGACAATGGGAAGGGGTATAATATAGAATAGAAGGGAAAAATTGAATTTGATTAAGATTAGAGATGAGGATGAAGGGTAATATTGGTTTTTTACAAAAATAGATGAGGAATAAATATGGCAAAAAGGAAATATAGAAATTGTAAATTTAATTGAAATGACTAAACACTGTTTAAATTTGTGAACCGGCCAAATACTCTGTTCAAAGAAAATACATTGTATGTTTGTATGTGTGTTTCTAATTATTGCTATTTATTCATATTTGTTCTCTTTTATTCTTTAAAGTTTAACAATTCATTCTTTATCTTAATATCTTTATATTTGTTTGGGATTGGCTTTCTTCCCTTTCATCTTTTTTATTGTACAGCAAATAAACCTACCTCAAACCTCCTCAAACCTATCACCTCTCTCTTTTCTTTCCTTCTTACTTTCTCTTCCTCCCCCTCTTCTTCTCCTCCATACTTCCTCTTCCTTTCTCCTTCTCCTCCTCTCTTCCTCCCTCTCTTACCCTCACTCCTACTCTAATTTCCCTTCCCTTCCTTCATCCCTCTCTATTGCTGTATCCTTTTATGAATATGGACTACTCAGAGGGCTGAAAAAGTTATTTCGCACTTTTGACCAGTCCTCGAACTTACGACTGTCCTCACATTTTACGTTTTTGCCCTATCTTATCACCATGGTGAAGAGAAGCAGTTGTGAAATGAGTGACATGGTTGTTAAGAATGCTACAATGGGCATAAATGATGACCAGTCATAACTGCGAAGACCGGTCAAAAGTGTGAGGACCTGTCAGAAATCCCTTTTTTAAGCTCTCTGGTAGTCCTTTTGTGCACATGGACTACTCAGAGGGCTGAAAAAGTTATTTTTGACTGGTCCTCGCACTTTTGACCAGATCTCAAATTTATGACTGTCCTCACATTTTACGTTTTTTGCCTTATCACCATGGTGAAAAGAAGCAGTTGTGAAATGAGTGACATGGTTGTTAAGAATGCTGCACAGGCATAAATGTGAGGATGGTCATAAGTGTGAGGACCAGTCAAAAGTGCGAGGACCTGTCAAAAATGACTTTTTTCAGCCCTCTGAGTAGTCCCTATACACACAGCCATGGCCACCCGGTCACATGACCAGCTAGCCACGCCCACAAAATAAGCCACGCCCACAGAACCGGTAGTAAAAAAATTTAGAACCCACCCTTGGTTGGGGGTCACCACAACATGAGGAACTGTATTAAAGGGTCGCAGCATTAGGAAGGTTGGGAACCACTGATCTATGTGATCTTCATGTCTCCCATTTTATGGCAATACTATTTTAAAGAGCATTTATAGGCTGTACAGATGTGAGCCAAGGAGGAGAAAAAACCTTTCTAATTTAATTTTTGCCTCTTGTTTTAGAATTTTTGTTTGAGCAAACAAACATCTAAATATCTTGGTAACTAGTTTAATTAGAAACTGTCCTCGAGAGTTTATTCAGTTTAACCATTTGGAACCAGTTCAAAATAGTGAATACCCTGCATATTTATACTAGGATTGTACAAAGCGTTCAAACTGGTGTTTTACATAACTTGTTGGTGCATCTGAAGCACCACTATTTCATAAAGAGTTAAAAACAGCACATGACTATTTCAAAGGCTTTCCCCAGTTGTAAGTGGTAGGAGAGCACAGCCTTTTTTAAAGCAAAGGGAAACTACATGTACACTGAAGCTGGCATTTAATTTTGTTGTACCATGTGCAATGACAGTAAAGTAAAGTAAAGTACAGTACACTACAGTACAGTAAACTATAAACTAAACTAAACTAAACTAAACTAAACTAAACTAAACTAAACTAAACTAAACTAAACTAAACTAAACTAAACTAAACTGTGAATAGAACCAGGACATAAATGTGATTAAATGGAGATGAGTTAATTTTCTTCTAGGTTTTCAATATCTCCCATTCTCTTCTGTTCAGATTTATAGTATAAAAGTATTTGTAGAGGGACTGTGTGGCAAAGTTCATAGAGTTGTAGGTTTGGAAGGGAGCTTGAATATCTTCTAGTGCAGCTCTCTATCCAGCACAGGCATCCTCATACCATGCTGGAAAAATGGTCATGGAATCTTTTCATGAAAACTTTCAGCGATGGCATATCCTTGGTTTCAGGAGACAGGTCGTTCCAACTTCCATTGCTTATTAGTTTTCATAGTCAGGAAATTCCTTATTTCATGTTTATATCTCCCTCTGTAAAGCTTCCATCCGTTGGCTCTGTGAGGGTAAAGTTTGAGTCATACAGCTATGGGGCCACAGGAGGTATACCCCAAAATATATACAAATAATAATATAATAATAATAAGCATAGAAGTATTAAGTATTAAGACTAGATTAAAAAGTATGGAAAAAAGTATTTTGGCAGAAATTGTAACTATGTCAAATGTATTTGGAGATGATAAGTTGTATAAGATATGATATGGTCAATAATCTGTTCATAAGATATGTGGGTGTGTGTGAAAGAAAAAAATCAATAAAACCTGATTCAAAAAAAAATCTGAATTACTGTAGATCAGGAAATGCTCATCAAGACTACAAAGACCTAGTTGAAGACTACTGTTTAATACTTCTATTAACACAGGTACAGAGGTTAAGTGTTAACACACAATGGTGCATGTCTGAGGTTTTTTTTTAAGCTTTTGATTTTATTCAGCCATTGTCAAGCTATAAAGTCAAACAAGTAGAAAAAAGAGGAAAAGGGATGCATTGATTTGATGGGCATAACTCAACTCCCACCGTGTTCAGTTAAATCCAAACGACGATGCACAGAAAGTATATGATGATCTCTTAAATCTTTGTTTTTGTGCCCCACTTATTCCTAGGTGATTATGGAGATCAGTGGGCTTCCACTAGAACTGTGGCGCTTAATACTGTCCTACTTGCGTCTTCCTGATCTTGGCCGCTGCAGTTTGGTGTGCAGAGCATGGTATGAGCTCATCCTCAGCCTGGACAATACTCGGTGGAGACAGTTGTGCCTTGGTTGCATTGAATGCCGGCATCCAAACTGGCCTAACCAGCCTGGCGTGGAGCCTTGGTCATGGAGAGAAGCTTTGAAACAGCATTACCTCTCTTCTAAAACCTGGACCAAAAACAGCCACGATCTTGAGTCCTCCAAATGCTTCTACTTATTCACGAGGAAAAAGGACAGGCGGGTTCTTTGCGTTGGGCCTGGCTGCGAGTTTGACAATCTAAGGAGCGCCTTGCTTTCAGCCAGCATGTATGACCGGATTGTCCTGTTGCCAGGAATGTATGAGGAACAGAGTGAAATCTTTCTCAAGGCTCCTGTAGAAATCATGGGAAAGGGCAAGCTCGGGGATGTGGCCCTTCTAGTGAGCTTTGACCAGCACTGTCCAACAATGAGGTTATGCAATTTGGTCTTTATGCCAGCCTGGTTCACACCAGTAATATATAAGGTGGGTATGAAGAAGGAACCGAAGAAGCTTTCAGGACTTGGGGTTCCCTGAAGAATAGTAATGTGAGAATTAGGGACATCTGGTCAATGTGGCAGAACCCACATGAAGGTTTTCCCAACTTGGGGCCTTTTAAATGCATGCCCCAGTGTTCCCCACCAGTGTGGCTGTTGTTTCCAGGATGCCACCAGATTGGGGAAGGGTTCCAGGAAGCCTGACTTGACATGGTGAACTACAACTTCTGGAATTTCTGACTACCTCAATTTATAGTTGGTATAGTTGGTGGGAATTTAATCAACACATCTGAAAGGCACCAGGATAAAAAGGGTATCCTGCTAAGTTAGATCAACAGTAAACAAGGTATTTTTTTCTCAAGCATGTGACCCAGTGGTTGGAATGCAATATTGTAGGCTAACTGCCCACAGTCTGGAGTTTGATTCTGATGGGCTCAAGATTGACTCAGCCTTCCATCCTTCCGAGGTCAGTAAAATGAGGGCCCAGATTGTTTGGGGCGATATACTGACATTTGTAAACTGTTCAGAGAGTGCTGTAAATCACTATGGGGTGGTATATATTGCTATGAAAGCATCATAAGTTAGTCAGGGGAAGAATCAATACTTGTTTCATCTCCATATTTGGTTAGGAGCTGCCATGGTATCCTGGTCTCTCTATTTCATTCTCATCAGCACAATTAGAGGATAGCAGGTTCTGTATCTGTTCGCAGGCAATATTTCTCTGGAAAATGAGTATCCTCTTTGACTTGTTTTTTAAAATTGAAAATAGGCTGATCTGGTTTCATTCTCTTTTCTTAGACAACCTCAGGCCATGTCCAGTTTGACAACTGCAATTTTGAAAACAGTCAGCTGCAGATTCATGCTCCTGGGACCTGCCAGGTTAAATTCTGTACTTTCAATCAGTCCAGCATCCATTTCCATAGTGTGGCTGTCTGTCTCCTGGAAAACTGCGAATTTGTTGGCAGTGAAAATGCTTCGGTGACAGTGGAAGGAAGTCCATCTTTGGACAGGAACTGGGCCTGCAAGCACTTGACCATGTTGGCAAAATCTCACTCCGTCTTGCTGCAGACATCTGAGCCTTCCCATTGCAATATATCAAAGTTTGAGAGCCAGGGAACTCTTCCAATGTCAGACATGAGGACCTGTGACGTTGTGGTAGCTGAAAACCCAAGTCACATATTTTCTGTTTCACAGACTCAAGTGGTGCCAAGGAGAGGCCTTGAGAAGGAAAGGGAGGTATCTGGGAACCTTAACACAGCACACAAAGAAGAGGCCATGACTATAGACACAGATTCCAGTGACAGTGAACTGAGCCTGAGCAGTGAGAATGAGGACGAAGATGAGTCTCTGTACAAATTGCCTTACCAGGCTCATAGCTTGAGCCACATGCTGGCCAAGGTTGTCCATGGTAGGCCGTCATCCGATGGTTTACCAGCCCTTCAGAGTGACTATGAGCTAAAACCTTTGGCTCAGGAGCTGCAGCAAGATAAGGAGGCTCAGTGTCTTGCCAACACCATGCAAGGATGCCTTGTGAGGAAATGTCTTTTCAGGGACGGAAAAGGTGGCATCTTTCTGTGTTCCCAGGGACAAGCCAGAGTGGAAGGGAGCATCTTCAGGGACTTGACCTATGCTGTGCGATGCATACAAAACAGTAAGGTGCTGTAAAAGGCAGGAACAGATCTTGCATGCTACAGTTAAACCTAAAGTAATATTTAGCCAGTTTTTAAGGCCAACTTGATCAGCCTTGCAATTGTACCTACAAATATTTGTGAATGTGTATTATGTTAGCCTTATAATATTTTTCTAACCACACTTTTTCAAAACAAAATGATAAATAATTCAAAGGGCATAATTTTGGTTTAGTTTTTTTAATTTGGATGTTTGTCTATTGTATGCAGATTAACTTAATTTGTTAATGAGTTACCTTATGTTGCTCAGTGATGTTAATTATAGGAGAGGCCAAGATGTATGAAGAATTGCGAAGCCTTACCCTTTTCCTATTTTAAATCTTCTCCAAAGGCTCTGCTGGCTTCATAGCATCCCCAAGCCTTGTATATACATTTTTTAACATAACTTTTAACAAGAGGCAACTGTTTTCTTTGAAGACATTTCGCTTCTCATCCAAGAAGCTTCTTCATCTCTGACTCAGGGAGTTGAAGATGCTCCTTGGACGAGAAGCGAAACATCTTCAGAGAAAAACCAGAAAGTCCAGTTGCCTCTTGAAAAAGCACCTTTAGGACACAACCATGACCTGGATGACTGAGAATCTCCATAGACAAGAGATTCATAGAAAGTAGGATTCTATGACTTTTCCTTCTTCCCTATTTTAATGAAATTTCAGAATTCAATTTCCCCTGTAGGTTTGTAAATGGGAAAAATAAAATATCCCTGGTACTTTGTTGGGCTGCATATTATTTGGTGAGTCAACTATTATGAAGGCCTGCTTCAAAAGCACTTCAGCTTTTGCTGCAGAATATCAGACCGCAGAGTATTTCTTCACTTTCGTTAAATAATGTAGTTGATCTGTGAATCCACCTTGTTCATTCATCACCACTCTACCTAGTGCGTACGCACGCACGCACCCACACACATACATTTACACTTTAAAACACAGTGAATTTTGCAATTCTGCACTGAGTTTGGTGAAGTGATCTTGGTCATGTCATTTCTCTTTTGCAAATCCCACTTCACCATACCGACAGGTGCCTTATTTAGTGCAGGAGGCACTGTGAATCATTCCTCAGGAAACAAAGGCCGGCTCCTGACAGCCCTCCTGGGTTGTTGTTGTTGTTGTTGTTGTTGTTGTTATTAGTTAATCTTTAGTGAGATTCACAGCCTTTGAGGCTGGTTAATAGCTCAGCAGCTCGAGTCCTAACCAAGGACCTAGGAACTGTTAAGGTATCGTCGGAGGATGTAAGCTGTTCCGAGTAAGGTGGTTTTTTGTAGAGTCAAAATGTTCAAGTCCGGCAAATTTAGAATTTCTAAATAGTGGGGTAGCCCTTTGGGTATTGCTCCAAGGGCTCCAATTACATATTAAATAATTATTAAATAATTAAATTAAAAATTAATTAATTAATTAATTAATTAATTAATTTAAATAATAATAATAATTATTATCATTATTATTTATTGAATTTCTATACCGCCCTTCTCCTGAAGGACTCAGGGCGGTGAACAGAATAAGATTTCATATACATACATACATACATACATACATACATACATACATACATATATATATATATATATAAACAGTAAATAATAAATTGAGTCAACTTAGTGTACCTGCTAAGACCTTGGCATAGAATTTAGATGTTTATGCTAGCCCTGCTTGTTGAAACAGAAAGGTCTTCAGGGCACGTCGGAAAGTGCGAAGATCTGGGATTATTCGTATTCCAGGGGGTATTTTGTTCCAAAGAGTAGGTGCCCCCACAGAGAAGGCTCTCTGCCTTGGAACTACTAGACGACATTGTTTTAATGATGGTACTAAGGGTAGGCCTACTCTGTGAGAGCGTATTGGTTGGTGGGAGGTTATCGGTTGCAGCAGGTGGGGTTGTTGCTTCTGCTGAGAAAAAATTGAGGCACCCGGCAAAAGAATTTGGATAGAGGGCTGCGGAGTAGCTGCACAAGATTTATGTCTTTTCAGCTATCTGGCAGCCACACTATTGCCCTCTGTTTAGCAAGCCTTGGGGCATTTAGAACTAGCCCTTTGCTGTGGACTGTTTGCCTAAGGATCAGATAGAGGCTCATGGTCCTATTTATTGAAAAAATTATTGTAGGTTTGTAGTCAGTTGGATACATGAGAAGCAAATAGATGGAAATAAAAGCTGAATCACAGGAATTGTTGTCACTAATCCTCCAGGACAACTGCAATATAATAATGCCTTGCCTCAGGCAAGCATTGTAAAGACTTCCTCAAGGGGGGCCAAGCTTCTTATGCAGGAAAGAGCAGAGGGATAACATGGTGACAGCTTTCTTTGTGGGTGAGGTGGTAGAGATGTTTGAAGTTGGCATGGCTTCGGAAGGACCCATTAACATGGGGTTCCTATGCCATTTCCGATGGCTATATTGTTCTCAGGTGAAAATGGCTTGTGGTTAGGCTTACATTTTCTGTTCCTGTGTTTCAAGGCAATAAGTTACTTCAGAGAGTAGGGAGAAGAAAAGGCCTATATCTGGGTATCTAATTTCTGACTCACCTGGTTTTCTAATAGAAGGAGAGCATCTGCTGCAGCCCCTCTTCTCTGGAATGACATCCTTCCAGAGATCTGGATCTCCCCTACCCTGACCTTATTTAACTGGGCCCTTGAAATCTGACTTTTCTCCAGGCCTGAGATAGGGTGGATGACAGACTCCTTGTGGGAATGATTTCTGCTAAAAAGGTATCTTCGTTTTCCTATGCCTAGTTCACTCTATGCTGTTTTGTATTGTTCCAAACAGCCCAGGGAGGGAGGGAAGGAGGAAGGAAGGAAAGAAATTAGTTAGTTCAGTGGTGACTGGCATCACCTTGGATCAGGGTGGATAAAAATCGATTAAAAAAAAATTAAAAAATCGGATTTTTTTTAATTTAAATCGGATTTTTTTATTTTTATTAAATTTATTTTAATAAAATGCTTTTGGAGTAAAAATATATCTAAAGATATTTTAAGATACATTAATAATTTAGTTTATTCAGCATGAAATGGAGCTTAGTTATGTAGCATGAGGCTGTATATTCTGCAATATTGGGACTGTTGGTGACTCAACAGAGGGTCAGAGGAGGAGTCACTGCGGGACAGAGATGACAGTTGCTGTTTAAAAATTATGATTTAAATCAAGTTGATTAAAATCAAGGCTTTTTACTAGTGATTTAAATCATGATTTAAATCATGATTTAAATCAACTTGATTTAAATCAAATCCACCCTGACTTGGATTCTTAGATATATTATGGAAATGAACTATAAGCTTACTCTGAAGCTGCACTGCACAGTGCAAAGAGTGGTGGTGATGTATTTTTACATATGTTTGATACACCAGAGATATTATTGGAATTAGCAAGCACAGATAAATGCCTTTGCTGATAGAAGTGGGGCTGTTCTTGTGTACTAAGATACAGGAGTCCCACATGTGTTAAACCATAATGTGATTTGGTTGGGTTTGATGGTGTTTTCTACAAACATGTTTTCTGGTTGTCACTGACCATTCAGCTTTAAAGTGACATTTTTTGCTGTTTCTTTTGAGCCTGTCTTGATTCCAGGTGACTATATGGACCAATTCATACAGTATTTTTGGACAATGTTTTCAGGAGTAGTTTCCCCTTGCTTCTTCTTGGAACTGAGAGTGACTGACCCAAGGTCACTCAGTTAGCTTTCATGCCTAAGATAGGACTAGAACTTAGAATCCTTCTACTCTTTGTCCAGTGCCTTAAAGGTATCATTTAGCTGAATCAAAATTTAAATTTTGAGTCATCAGGATGGAATGGCCAATCAGGAAACAAAATACTCATTTTTTTTTCAGATCAAGAAACAAAATATTCTATTTATCTTTTGTCTTAGCATTGCTTAAAAGGTTAGAAGTCTTCTCATCCAGAGCATTTCCTCCCCCCACGCCCCATTTTGCATCTGGGTTTTGTCTCTTGAAATGGCAAACAGTGAGAAGGTTCAGTGTTCCAAGATGATGAAACTGGGAAGCTGAAACGAGAGAATATGCAATATCCTTTGAATTGCATCTGAGCCTGAATCCTTATGATATATTGGCAAAAGCTAAACTGAGCATGAAGGCAAATGTGTCTTCACAGCTAGCTTGCTGGGGGTTTTCCCCCCCTTCAAATACAGATTGTACCATGGAGAAGAGGCTGACAATAAAGAAGATCTGAGCAGATGTGGGGAGCTGATTTAAGCTTCCTCCTGCAATCTAGACAGAAACTCCTCCTTCAAAACCGATATTTGCATTGAAAGGAAACCTCCTGCTGGTGCCATTATCAGACTGTCCCAGCAGGTGCCATTTACATTTTTAAAATACCTGCCCATTTGATGCAAGGATGAATTTCGTGTCTTCTGCTATAAGTCAGGCATCGCAGAATCGCTAAGGAGCAAAAGACTTGAAGGAGAAGTAGCCGTGCATGATTGGCAAAACAGCTCTGCGCCTCCGTGCATAACCCTGGGCTTTTCATCCCATTAGCCACAGGCTTCCATTTCATTTAAAGCACAGCAAAGTGGAAACTTTCTTTTGCTTTGCTTGGGCAGTCTCAGAAAAAGGCTCCTTGACGATGGTTTTTTTGTTCCATGCCTATGCTCATCGTGTTCAAATTTACTTCTCGGTGACAGGAGGTGGATTTGTTTTACATATTTAGTGATTCAACAGTCTTTCTCTCTCTTTCGCTCTGGTTTTAAAGAAGTGAAACATTTTAAAAAATTATTTTAAAAATTCAGAGATAAACATGAAATAATATAAGATTAAAGAAAAGAAAGAAGAATAATGTGACATGAAAAAGTAAGAAAAGGGTAAAAGAAATAGAAAAAAGGGGGCAAAGATATATTAAAAAGTGACTTCTGGTCTTCTTTATTATGGTTACAAACTGTTATTTTCTCTCTGCCATCATTAAAATTGCACCATTATCCTCTTCTCATAATCAAACTTTTTAATCAGGAAATCTATAAATCACAGTTCACTTTTTTTCTAATTTCAGCAAAAGGTCCATAAGAGGTTTTCAGTCAGGTGATTTAACTGTCAGGCCCAAAAGACCAGGTCTACACATGACAGTCCAATTAAAAATCAATTTATATTGCCACATAACCTATGCACAGTCATCTAACAGCACCTGCTTGAAGTTAGATAAGATTCGACAGAATTCAAGTGGGATTGGATTTATTCTGCTCATGGTGATGTAGGGATTCTAGGCTGATCCCTCTTTTAACTCTGCCCCCAGATTCTGCCACTCCTTCTCCTGCATCAAAAGAATCTTGAAGGTGCTGAGTTGATTGAATTTGATTGATTGAATTTAATGATTATTTAGACTTCCAAAAGCCTATTTTGTTTTGTTTTCTTTTGTTATTTTATTTTATTTTTATATATTATGATAATGAAGTTTAGGTAAAGGTTGTGTGAAGTTCTATCCATTGTTTTTGTTCTATTCATTTCATTTTTCCTGCTCTTGTTCCTACTTTCCTCGTTTTTGGCATCATAACAACCATGCGAAGTAGAATTTAAAATAGCAGTAGCCAGTCATGCTGCTTTCATGATTGTGGTTTGCCACTAACGGAATGCCAGATTTATAAACCCGGGGTATTAGTGTTGTCTGACTAGAAAAATGATGGGAATTTATTTGCACAGATTTTACTTATTTATTTTACTTATATAAAATTTATATCCCAATCAAGAGACTTTGGGCTGCTCTCATAAATTTTTTAAAAAAATCCCCCAAGAATATTAAAAACAACAAATTGAAATGTCTATGGAGAATCATCCAGGTCATGGTTATCTCAAAAGTACTTATTCAAAAGGCAACTGGACTTCCTTTGTTTTTGCTTGAAGATGTTTCACTTCTCATCCAAGAAGCTTCTTCAGTTCTGTCTGTCAGAACTGAAGAAGTTTCTTGGATGAGAAGCTAAACAAGTTCAAGCAAAAACAAAGAAAGTCCAGTCGCCCTTTGAAAAAGCACCTTTGGGACAAATTGAAACAACACATATTTTTAAAACAACAGCACAGCCTCAAGCCCTGAATGCCTCATTTGACGTCTAAACTTGTAGGGCTCTTCAGTTCCCATAGAAAAGGACAGGGCTTTCTTCGAAGCCTCTGGTCCCTTTAACCTCCCAACGAAGAAGGTATCTCAAAGTACCAGTTCCTAGGCCAGCTGCTAGGATGAGCAGATTCTCTTTGGAGATAATGGTTCCATAGGGTTACATGTAGGCTTGGTGGATCAAGCCAGCACTTTGAATTGTAATTGGAAACATACTGGCAGCCAATGCAACATCAATGTAATACTATTGATATGACTCCTGCCCACCAGCCTGTGAGCGGCTGTACAATGTACTAGTTGGCAGTTTGTAAATAGTCTTCAAAGTCAGCCCCAGGTAGAACATGTTGCAGTAATCCAGTCTTAAATTAATGAAAGCACGGGTCAAGAGTGTCTCTTTCCCACAAAATGCAAAAGTTGGCACCTTAGCTAAAGCTGCAAAAACATTTTGTCTCAGCCACAATCTCCACCTGTTGTCATGCAGAAGGCATAAATCTTAGAGAACCTCCAATTTGTGCCTGTTGAGAGTTAACGAAGGAGCTATAATCCAACAAGATGGCTTCTGGTCAGACAGTGACTCCATCTTGGAAAAGAGGGCTGACTGGGCCCTGGAGACAATGAAAGCAAGGGATGGTTTAGAGTGGAATTCTGCTTTGACTCAAATTTGGGATGGGTCCTGCAGTGTCCTAAAATCATATTTGGAAAGAGCAAGTTTCAGGGAATCAGGGTAACATGATCATTTCCCTCATTTTTTCCTCTGAGATGAAGTGTTACATTGTCTCCGAACATGGAGATTTTTCTCAGTTTTCATATCTAATCGTGGGCAGATCAAAAGAGTTTTTGAGATTTCTTAGTGTTTATATTGACTGCCTGCCAGAATGAAGAGGTGATTGTCCAAGTTTGTAAATCAGTAACCAGTAGACAATCTAGATCAGGGGTGTCAATCTCAAGGCCCGGGGGCCAAATCCGGCCCATGGGATGCTTAGATCTGGACCGCTGGGCCACCCTGGAAAAAGTGAGGGACCGGCCCACGGTGCCTCTGCCAGCGAAAATGGGCTCCCGAGTTCAATTTCCGGCTGTGATGGCCTCCTGCAACCCTCTGCCAGCGAAAACGGGAGGGACTTCCAAGCTCCGTTTTTGCTGGCAGAAGGTTGCAGGAGGCCTTCACAGCCAGAAACAGAGCTTGGGAGCCTGCTTTCACTGGCGGAGTGCTCGGGCTGCCACAGGTGCCCCTGACATGAGTGACATAGAGCACCCCAGCCCCCCGAGGTCAAACATAACCCTGATGCGACCCTCAATGAAATCGAGTTTGACATCCCTGATCTAGACCAACCATCAATAGCTACTGAGTGTGCTAGATAAAGAACCATGGGAATTCCTTCCCAGCACATGTAAAAAGAAGGCATTAGGAGAAAACTGGCTGAATGCCCATATTCCCAGGCCAGCAACTGTGAGCTCCAATTGAGTGAATTGAGAAGCCAACCTCTGTAAGCTTCCAAAGCTGATCCATCACAATCAAAGTTAAGATAGCTGTAAACACCTGTCAGTCTATTACTCTGCTAGGATAAGGGCAGTCTTTTCTGTTAATATGCTGGATTGCCAGCTTAATATTCTAATCAGGGCTTGACCTCTGTGCCAGGTTAGCAGTGAGTGACTAATAGGGAGAGGAGCACGGCGGCCTGTCTTTTCTTCCTGCATTTTAATTAACCGATTGGAAGGGGAGGCCAGCCATCTTTTTCAATGAGCAAATAAAGGAGATTGTAATTTCATTATCAGCTTTGATATGCGCTGCTCGCTAAGGCAAGAATGTTGCAATTTGTAGATTTGTTTCTTTACGCTTGTCAGGCAAGGGTTTAAAGGTTTATTGGACTGGAAAAGAATTACATGCATGCGTATTTAAACCACTTATTTGCTCAAATAAACCAATGCCCGGATTTAATTTTTTTTCAGCTGTGTGTAAATTAAATCTCTGGGCGATATGTATTTGCTTTCAGCATCCTCATGTTTTGTAAGTCAGTTAGCTCTAAACCATAAGCTCTTTGTCAAATAAAATAGTCCCAGCAAATAAAATACTAAGTGTCCACTACAAGCAAGGATTCCTACCATTTTTCTGCATGTGTGACTGTACTGCCTTCCACTCAGCCTTCCAGGTGACATACAGCAGGCAAACATTTTGCCTTTGGCTCATTTAATGACTCCTGTGCCCTCATTTGTCAGAATTGAAGCCAAATACCATGTATCAGTTTGGAAACTATTGCTCCATAGGCAAAAACATCTCATAATGCAGAGACTTTCAAAATGGAGGGGAGGGAGAATCATTCCCCCTGGTATGTTATAAGCGATTTATGGAAGTTGAAGATTTTAAAAGCTGATCAAATTTCTGCAGGCAAAGCAGAAATGTGATCAAATCTCATTCTTGTTTTAACTGAACTAAAGTGAAGTCTGGAGCAAAATTTGGTGGAGGTTTTTGAAGATAACTACCCGTAATTGTCTGTCAAAACTTGACTTATGGCCACAATTGACCCCAAATTTTCTGTTGCGAGACATTTTTTAAGTGAATTATGCCCCATTTTATGACCTTTCTTGCCACAGCTGTTAAGTGAATCACTGCAGTTGTTAAGTTAGTGACACAGCTGTTAAGTGAATCTGGCTTCCTCATTGACTTTCCTTGTCAGAAGGTCGCAAAAAGTGATCACATGACTCTGGGGCACTGCAACCGTCATAAATATGACTCAGTTGCCAAGCGTCTGAATTTTGATCACATGTCTTTGGGGATGTTGCAATGCGTGTGTGAAAATTGGTCATAAATCACTTTTTTCCGTGTCGTGACTTTGAATGGTGAAGTACTGTAAATTGAGGACTACCTGAACTTGTTACTTAATTATATTCCATGGCAATTCATTTTAGGGAATTGCAACTTTTTAAAGTTTCAAAACCTCTTCTTAATGTGTTTCTATTTTAGAAAACCCAGTAATTTATCAATTGTGGGACACAGGTATGCTTTTGAAGGAGATCATCACATTTTCTTGGGGTATGACTTTTCTTGGGTGTTACATAAACAGCAATTTGTGTTTTGAGTATTTTCTAAGGCAAAATGTATCTTTCGCTACTTTTCCTTAAAAAAAATTGTTTTTAACTTGAATGCCAGCGCAAAATGGAGTAGCCTCATTCAGGAAGAATGTTTTTGTTCGAAATAAAAACAGTGAAGTGAAGCACCTGTGAGCTAGGAAATAAGTAGGTCAAGCAGTTTTCAACCCAGGAGTTCAGAAAATGGTTTTTAGAAAGCTGGCTGGAGAATTCTGGGAATTGAAGTCCACACATCTTAAAATTGCCAAGGTTGGGAAATCCTGTATTATACTGAGAAAACGGCCTGCCTGAAAGACACTTAGTGGCAAATACCAGACCCTATCAGAGTTACTACGGCCATATTTTGGTACTGACTGTATATTAACTCCCAAGGTCATTCCTGCACTGTTTGTTTGGCTTGCCTGCAATCTTTTCGGTGAATAAATCTAACTCATTCTGTCTTCCCTCTTTCAGATCATCATGCTCAAGAATGACATTCACCACTGCAAGACCTCAGGGATATTTCTGCGTCTGGGTGCAGGTGGCTTGATCGCAGACAATAACATCCATTCCAATTGTGAAGCAGGAGTGGACATTCGGAAGGGAGCTAACCCTTTAATCCTGGTATTGATGGGTTTTTTTAAAAAAATTGACTGGGCATTGGATATTTATAGACAAGAAGAAGCAGATAAACCTCCTGCTATAGATCCCCCCGCTCTGATATTTCTCTGCTTGGGATTCCTGTTAAAAAAAAAAAAGGCCTGTGTGAGGAGGAATGAAGAGGCAAAGGAAATTGACAGTTCACATTCTCCAACTTTTCACTTCTTTCATGCATTCTTTGACTGCAGGTGATAGTTTTTGGTTGACAGCTTTGTCGTATCTGAAAATGATTCATTCAGCATTGCACCTTCTGGTGCTAAAATACTAAGCTTATAAATAGTCCAGCATCTTAAAACATTCCTAATGTAAAATACAATACTGAGCTGATTATAAATGGGTATTATAGATGTCAAGAATAGATGTCAAGTAAGCATTTAATCTAATCTAATCTAATTAATCTAATCTAACCTAATCTAATCTAATCTAATCCAATCCAAACCACACGTTCAACAGTGAGGAGTACTCCTGTACTGTGCATAGTTGAATCATGGATTGTAGATCGAGGCAAACAGATAGATCTTGTTATATTTCTGGCAGCCAGCCTCGTTTTAGGGAGCAGTCATTTATATAAGTGCTATAAATCTTGTATGGAGTTTGATGCATCTCATGATGATTCTCACAACCTGAACTGTCTGCTAGATCAGCTCAGCCAGGGGCCATACAGCCTCCTAGAGGCTGTAAGATATTTGAGGGGGCCACAGGTGAAAAACATGCAGTGGGGCCATGGCACATGCTGAAAGAGACACAGAAAAGCAAAATGTACTGTCCTGCAAATTCAGTTTTGTTAATGCTACAAGACACACCAGTTATTCTCCCATATCCATATCAAGTAATGGAACCTGGACAGAGGGACCACAAGAGAAAACAAAGGTGAGAAGGGGCGGCCATGGGTGAACAAAGATTGGGAAACGCTGCCCTGAATCATCAGTTCAAGATCTACTCAGGATAAAAGCAGCATGCGATAATGGGATCAGATATAATGCATCTGATATTTGAGTACCAGAGAGATATAAAATATTCCAAATTTCAAGTAATCAGTTTTTTTAAGTGAAATATTCCAACATTGTCCTGAACATCCTGACAGTATTTTGTGCTCAGAGTAACTCTTTTTCAAGGTTGACACAATTGTTTTTGAGGTTGAAACAGGTTTTTTAGAGTTGGAATTCAGAGCAGTTGAATCTTAAAACGGAATAGTGGGATCGGCTGTTTTGAACCCAGGACAGAGCCTTTGAAACTTGAAACAAATATTTTGCATAACGACTTGATTGGATATATGCTTTTATGTCTGGAGCATTTGCAAGAAATTATGATTTAATGTCTAAGTACTCAATCTTCTGATTCTTCTTAATGTAGGAGACCGCCAACTGTTTAATAACTCTGCTTACATTTACCGTTTTAGCCTCCATTGCCATGCATTCTTAAATTTTGAGATAGCTATTTGATTTTGTCCCTTGTAAATATAAATTCTCTCCTGGAGGTTGATTGCCAACTGATCAAGAACAAACACTTCCTGGGCTTGCTCATGTGCCTGCAAAAATCAGCAGGAGACACTTTTCACTAATTAAGATAATATATGATCATTTGCTAATATCTGCTGTGAAGGTGTAGTTAAAAACACAGTGGAGAAACTGGGAAGTAGCAAAGAGCTTCTCACCTCTGTGGGAGTCCCTGATTTTGAAATTGCTGAACCGTATGATCTGTGAGCAGAGTAAGAGCTGAGAAGTGGAGACAGAGAATGACAAATGATGGGCAAGGCATATGTTCTAATTAACTGGGTAATAGCTGAGAATATTGAGATATGTTGACCAGAGCGTTCACTTTTTTCCCCATTCAGTTGCTATTCAATAGTTTACTGACTACTGAAATGTCAGGCCTTCTTCAGTAAGATCCAGAAGTGGACAAACGTTTTTCTGAAATGAATAGCTTCTAGCATTTAAGGAACTTGGTGTCTTAGTCTGAAAGCATGTTGAAGTTCTTGATTTAGTATGATAGACTTTGCTCACTCTTGTCTTCTCCTTTTATTCTTTTTTTCCCCCACCATGCATAAAACAATGTGGCAGTGTAATAGAATCCACAGTGGCCTTCGCTCTGGCATCGTTGCCCTTGGCAACGGAAAAGGCATCATCCGTAGCAATCAAATCTATGGAAATAAGGAGGCTGGCATTTACATTCTGTATAATGGCAATCCTCTGGTAAGGTAGGTATATGAGTTGCAGCATTTTTATTTTTATTTTTGCTACCTTTGGGTGTCCCTTTATTGAAGAAATGGCTCTTTCTCCTGTTAAAGAGCAGACAGTAAAGGTGTTGCCTTTTCTAACAGCTCCGAGGAGGCACTTTGGCATTTGACAATTGCATAATGCTTTCAGAGAGTAGCTTTTATTAAAAGTGCTTAGAAATCCAATATAAGCATATTAAAAAGTCCTCAGTGAGACATTCAAACATGGTGGGTGAATTTACAGAGAGGTGGCTTATTGTTCCTAAGCAAAGCCAGGAAAGTGTGTTCCTTCATGCCTGACAGTAGTGTGTCCCATCAGTTTTTCAACCATCTTTCTCCTGAAGAACAGCCTTCTCCACCTGGTGGCCCCCTCTTCTCCCCCATTATCTCCAGCCAATCTTTTTGTAAGACCTTTAGATTTGCACGATCTATTCTATACTGTGTCTTACCAGACTTATGTGTTCCATAACCATAGCCTAGTGAAAAATAGGTAGGTTTTTTTTTTTTACTAAAAAAAGAACCTTGAGATGTCTTAATTTGTCTTTAAATATGGAAACTGAGTTGATCCTATACATCTTCAACGCAACAGTTCACATATTCTTTTGATCTGTGTTTAGTTTTGGCTTAGCATAATGTTTGATTTTAGAAAGTATAATTTAGGACTCAAATGGTGACCCTGGGCAATGTGGCTTGTTCATCAAATTATTTAAAGCAAACTGTGGCATATTGCAGGGTGTAAACAGAGCCCCAAATTAATCTATAACCCAAGCTATATTCATTTCAGTAGTATATGTTTTGGATCACGTCCCAGTCTACCTTATACCCACCATTCCTCTCCAGTATGCCCCAGTAGCTTTTTTAATGTAAGGGGATCTCTTGTCAGGCAGCAGAAAATAATATTCACTCCATGAGGGGTCCTTGGTGCTCTCTGAGCTTGCTTGTTTTCTTGCAAACGTTTCATTACCCAAACTAGACAACAACATCAGTGCTAGTAAGGAGTATCACTTTATATTCTAGTGTAGGGGTGTCAAACTGGCAGCCCGCGGGCTAGATGTGTCACACGCAGGCCACACCCCTCCCAGCTCCACGAAGGGGAAAAAACATCATGATACATCATGTGATGGCAACATGTTGCCATGAGTTTGACATCTGTGTTCTAGCGGCTTACCTGTTAGTGTTGGTGGGAGTGGTCTTAGAGATTCTTTGGTTGGGCTGTTCGCTATTGGCTTCTTTGGCAGTTTCTTGATTGGGGTATTGTTTACTTGATTGTTGGTCTGATGTTAACCTTGGAGTTAATCTATGTGATCTGGATGCTGATTGCTGGTGGAGAGGTGCTGCAGTCTTTTTATTCCTTTTTGGGTTGGGTGATAGTCCCTTTTGCATAGTCTGTAGATGTTGTTAATGTATATGGGTCTATTGATGGCTGATTTGTCAAGAGTGCTAAGCTTCTAGAAATTCCCTGGTGTTTTTGGACTTGGCTTGGTCTAGGATGGTCACAATTTCCCAATTGAAACTATGATTAAATCTATCTATATGTTGTGAAATTAAAGAATTTTCATCATGTCTTCTGACTGCTAGTTGGTGTTTGTGAATGCATTCTGTCAGTCTTCTGTCTGTTTGTCCTACATCGTGGTTGTTGTGGTCCTTACATTTTATGTAGATCACTCCTGGTTTTTCTTCTGGGGTTGTTGCGTCTTTTGGTCTACTTTAAATATTCTTTAATTAAATATTTAATTCCCATTAAATATTCTTTATTAATATTTACTCCTTTCCCTGCTGCCCTCCATCACTGTGGGTTGTACACTTTCCCTGTAAGCTGTATGGAAAGCATCCAAGAAGCCCTTTTCAACTGGTAAGACTAAGACCAGGAGTCTCCAAACTTGGCAACTTTAAGACTTGTGGACTTCAACTCCCAGAATTCTGAGAGTTGAAGTCCAGAAGTCTTAAAGTTGCCAAGTTTGGAGACCCCTGACTATGACTGTCACCTCATTGCCTCATTCACACAGGAGCATTGTGTGAAGCACCTTTCAACCCTGAGACTACTCTATGGACTCTATGGATTCTCCCAGTGTGAGTGGAGACTGGTATCATTTTCATATGAGCGCTAGACTTCAAATTCAAATGGGAGATGATCCAAGCAACAGTTGCAACCAAGTGAGGTTTAGGTGTTTGCTTGAGAATGGCTTATTCCACCATAATAGTTTGATAAGTAGAAAACTTAAAAAAAAAAACCCTACAAACTGTAAGAGTTCTCCAAAGCCAATGGGAATCAGACTTGTCAAATGAGTATGATTTTTAAATAGGTAGCTGTCCAAGGTAGCAATAATGATACAGGCAATCCACCTGGAAGAAAACATGCATAAAGGAATCGAGGGCTCAAAGTGGAGACTTAATTTCCCTTCCTGGGTATTGTGTCAACAGCAGCTGTAGCCAAGCATTTACAAAAGTCTGTTGAAATCAAGATATCTATTTGTGTCTGGACAAAACAAGAGGTAGCCCCATTGATGATTTAGTCTATTTCCACAAGGTATTGTACCTAAGAAAGTATTGCTACACTAATTGTTCCCCAGTGACTTATATGTACTAAAAAGATTCTCACTTGGGTCCAGGTTTCTAACAATATTCCAAAACGCATGGGTTTTCATGGGGAGGCATTCTCAGAAATATAAGAAAATTGCACTGGGAAATTTTCTTTTGTTGTTTACCCTTTACTGATTGGTCTGAAAGATTTCTTTTTTAATTCAAAGCATCAGAGAAATACCCCAGAGTATCTTTTGGTTCCTCATCCTCCAATACACAAATCATATTCTGTCTTCCATTTCCTCAGTAGCACACAGAAATTGTGTTTTTATTTTGCTATAGCAAAATGGGGAAAGCAATATAGAAAGCCTTGTTCCTTTCTGATAGCAAGGAGAGAGAGGGAGGGAGGGAGGGAGAGAGAGAGAGAATACAGTATCAGAATTAAGAATGTGAAACTAGGAACCAGGTTCTGTCTATGTCTCATATTTCTAAGTACAAAATGTTTTGGATTTGAACTGCTTCAAATGTGAGACATCCCATTTGAGTTCAAATTGGCCATTCCAATCACATAAGAAGTGTTCTGAATTCAGAATATTCTCAAAAGGATCAGAATGGCCTGTTCTCTGAAACATTCTATTCCTCTTTTGTTGAACTTCTGCCAGGATATGCCATGAGGGGTTTGGGGACGGACATTTGACAATTTTTGGAAATCTCCAAACCCAATAAAGGTCTAGGAGAAATGAAACATTCCAGAATTTTTGGTGACTGCTGAATTGGTTGAATTTTGCACATCCATTTTTGTGGGAACCCAGCTAGTGGTAATTGGTTCAGTAAAAGATAATTAGTCACTGTTTGCCTCAGCATAACCTCCCTAATAGAGTTGTGTTTGTGAGGAACCATGTTTGCTATAAGTTCCTTAGATAATGAATTGTATAACTAAATCTTCAAATTAGAAGAGAGCAAAAAATGAAAGTGATTCTTTCTGGATTTTAACTACTGACTGTGTCAAAGATACCATAGCTTCTTTGGATTGGCAGTGTTGGCTTCTTAATGCAAGACTTGTCTCAGATGGCATTGGTGAGCTGAAGGCGGTGAATCATCAGTTCTTCTTTGATCTCCACCTGAGATATTCCATTCCAGATTCATTTTTTGCTCTATTTTTTGCCTGGAATTGCATATTCCACTTAATTTGGGTTCTAGAAGTTTTCACTCTGATTGAAATGAACCGTTGATGTTTTTCCAGGTGGCTTTTTCACTTTGAGAGTGCCTTGTACCTGTTCTCATTGTGCTATGTTCTTTTGTCCTTTCCACAGAGAGCAAATTGTCCTCACCAAATAGTACAACCATTTTTCTTTTAACACTATAATTTGTCAAGAAAGCACATTACTTTCATGTGGCTGTTAAAACTTTCCAAAGAACTCCAAAAACTCCTTCTGCACTGACTTGTTTATCACTTTGAAAATAAATAAATATTGCAAAGGATGGTGAAGCTGGTTTGTTGGTTGCTCACTATGCCCAAAGCAGCAACCAGGATGTTATGCCTTTACAGTGCACAAAGTGATGCATCCCCTGATACAATGGGGCAAAAAAGTATTTAGTCAGCCACCAATTGTGCAAGTTCTCCCACTTAAAAAGATGAGAGAGGCCTGTAATTGTCATCATAGGTAGACCTCAACTATGAGAGACAAAATGAGAAAACAAATCCAGACAATCACATTGTCTGATTTGGAAAGAATTTATTTGCAAATTATGGTGGAAAATAAGAATTTGGTCACCTACAAACAAGCAAGATTTCTGGCTCTCACAGACCTGTAAGTTCTTCTTTAAGAGGCTCCTCTGTCCTCCACTCATTACCTGTATTAATGGCACCTGTTTGAACTTGTTATCAGTATAAAAGACACCTGTCCACAACCTCAAACAGTCACTCTCCAAACTCCACTGTGGTGAAGACCAAAGAGCTGTCGAAGGATACCAGAAACAAAATTGTAGACCTGCACCAGGCTGGGAAGACTGAATCTGCAATAGGCAAGCAGCTTATTGTAAGAAAGCAACTGTGGGAGCAATAATTAGAAAATGGAAGACATACAAGACCACTGATAATCTCCCTCGATCTGGGGCTCCATGCAAGATCTCATCCCGTAGGGTCAAAATGATCACAAGAACGGTGAGCAAAAATCCCAGAACCACACGTGGGGGACCTAGTGAATGATCTGCAGAGAGCTGGGACCAACGTAACAAAGGCTACCATCAGTAACACACTACGCCGCCAGGGACTCAGATCCTGCAGTGCCAGACGTGTCCCCCTGCTTAAACCAGTACATGTCCGGGCCCGTCTGAAGTTTGCTAGAGAGCATTTGGATGATCCAGAAGAGGATTGGGAGAATGTCATATGGTCAGATGAAACCAAAGTAGAACTGTTTGGTAGAAACACAACTCGTTGTGTTTGGAGGAGAGAGAATGCTGAATTGCATCCAAAGAACACCATACCTACTGTGAAGCATGGGGGTGGCAGCATCATGCTTTGGGGCTGTTTCTCTGCAAAGGGACCAGGACGACTGATCCATGTACAGGAAAGAATGAATGGGGCCATGTATCGTGAGATTTTGAGTGCAAACCTCCTTCCATCAGCAAGGGCATTGAAGATGAAACGTGGCTGGGTCTTTCAGCATGACAATGATCCCAAACACACCGCCCGCACAACGAAGGAGTGGCTTCGTAAGAAGCATTTCAAGGTCCTGGAGTGGTCTAGTCAGTCTCCAGATCTCAACCCCATAGAAAACCTTTGGAGGGAGTTGAAAGTCCGTGTTACCCAGCGACAGCCCCAAAACATCACTGCTCTGCATGGAGGAATGGGCCAACATACCAGCAACAGTGTGTGCCAACCTTGTGAAGACTTACAGAAAACGTTTGACCTCTGTCATTCCCAACAAAGGATATATAACAAAGAATTGAAATGAACTTTTGATATTGACCAAATACTTATTTTCCACCATAATTTGCAAATAAATTCTTTCCAAATCAGACAATGTGATTGTCTGGATTTGTTTTCTCATTTTGTCTCTCATAGTTGAGGTCTACCTATTATGTCAATTACAGGCCTCTCTCATCTTTTTAAGTGGGAGAACTTGCACAATTGGTGGCTGACTAAATACTTTTTTGCCCCACTGTAGATCAGATTCCTATATATCTTCCACCCTTTATCCTTAGCAAGGAACTTAAAAGTGCAAAGGGATGCTACTAAATAAAAGGCAAAATTAATAAGCTTTGCAAAAATACCAGGCTTCAGAAAGCCTGATTCAGAAATCACAGGGAAGGTAGAAGGTAGATTGAGAACTACAGGTTGTTCTTGATTTACCATAGTTTGTTTAGTGACCGCCACTGAAAAAAGTGACTTTTGACTGTTTTTCCACTTATGACTGTTGCAGCATCCCCATGGTTATGGAATCAAGATTCAGATGCTTGGCAACTGACTCATATTGACGATGGTTGCAGAGGTCCAGGTCATGGGATCCAGGGGTGGGTTCTAAATTTTTTTACTACCGGTTCTGTGGGCGTGGCTTATTTTGTGGGTGTGGTTGATCGTCATGTGACAATTTTTTAGTATTTAGCAAAGGTACTGGTCTACCAGGCTTTTAACTGCTTGCAGAGCTGTACCGGTCTACTCATTTGTTTTTGGAGGCACTGGTCTATCCGTTTATTTTTGCAGGCATCGGTCTACTCATTTGTTTTTGGAGGCACTGGTCTACTACCACACTGCCTTTTAACACTGATCAGCTGTAGGGCGGCCCTTTGAAGCCCCATGGCAAGAGTTTAAACAGTTTTTTTCCTTCCACCGATCAGCTGGAACTCAGGAGGCAGCAATAGATTGGGGGTGGGGTCAAATAAAAGGTAAGAATAATGCAGGGGGGTGGGGGGGCAGAACTGGTTCGGTGACGCCATATCGTCACCGCTACCGGCTCGGTGGAACTGAGCTGAACCGGGAGGAACCCACCACTGATGGGATCCCCTTTTGTGACCTTCTGACAAGCAAAGTCAATGGGGAAACCAGATTCACTTAACAACTGTGTTACTAACTTAATAACTGTAGTGATTCACTGAACAACTGTGGCAGGAAAGGTCGTAAAATGAGGCAAAACTCACTTAACAACTGTCTTGCTTAGCAACAGAAATTTTGGACTCAATTGTGGTCCTAAATCGAGGACTACCTGTAGTGATAGGTTTGTGGATGATTTGCAGAAACGTTTACAAATCGAAAACAATAATTCCTATGACAATAATTCATATTATCTCTAGGCTCAGTATTTCTCACCTATAAAACGGGAAATTAATTGCTTGATTCTAGTGCTGCACATCTGGGACTCTTATAAAGTTTTCCTTTAGAATGCATCAACTCTAATGAACAAGTGTATACACAATACATTGTGTAGCTAAAAGTCTGTAGAGATTCTCAGCCATCCAGGTCATGGTTGTCCCAAAGGTACTTTTTCTGGAGGCAACTGGACTTTCTTGTTTTTTTTTTGAAGACATTTCGCTTCTCATCCAAGAAACTTCTTCAGCTCTGACAGGATAATGGGGAATGGAAGGATTTATATTCCTTGCAAACAGTTGGTCATTTGCATCCTTTTAGAGGGTCCTTGAAGCACTTGGAGGTTTACCTGTGGTAGGCAATCTTTTGGCACTAGGACCATATTTTGTGCCTTGAAAGTGTGAGGGGTGGATATTGTCCAAATGCTTATCCTGATAAGTATGATCACCCAGCAAACTTTTCTTATTAGAAGGATAGGTTTTAGTAGTAATACTTTTATTTGGTACGAAATAAAATATTTAGTACAAGCAAAATAATAAAAGCACAGTATTAACCACTACCTGACAAATAACAGTGTAACAATCAGTTTAAAAAATATTGTCTAATCCCAGCATAACCCTAATTTAAACTGGCACCCAGCACTGCTACTGAAAAATTCCTCCAGCTTAATAATAAATGTTTTACAGGCCTTTTTTACATCTCAGGAAATTGTACTTCAAGTGAAACTCAAGGGACAATCAGTTGCAAAGAGTAGAACTAGAACGGGGAAAAGGAGTAATATGTGAAGAGATGGCTGTGCACTCTCCAAATATTTTCCTTCACAGGCAGTGATGTTTATTGCTGCAAATAAAGATAATGCTAAAAACTAATGCTGGCCTTCTTCCTATTTCTTTTTTAAATTATTTTTTAAGTCAAGTGGAACAAGGAGTTTGGCAAGCACCAAGGGGAGAGCTGGCAGAACATAGTGCTGTTCTTTGCTCTTTGCCTTTTTATTATTTATTACCTTTTTTTATCCCACCTTTATTATTTTTATAAATAAGACAGCAAACTTTCCTAATACTGCTGTTCCCCCTACTCAATATCAATAGCCTAAGGCAGAACTAGAACTCACAGTCTCCTGGTTTCTAGATCATCATCTTAACCACTACAGCAGACTAGTTCTTCCTTGTCATTAGTCCACTTGGGTTAGCATCTGCACCCAGAAAAAAAGATCTCAGAAGCCTAAAATCTGTTGATTACTCTCACATGGAAGATTACTGTATAAACCAAATGGAAAGAGATAGTGCACTTGATCATGATTTCCATGATGGAGTGGGCTCCGGCTTTCCTGTGCAGTTGGGAATCAATTTGGTCCCTTACCGTGAGGTAACTGTGACTATCATCATGAAGATGTCTTTGTGTTGATTGGCAACATTGCAAGTGGTTAAATGTGAATGGAAAGGGTTAAAAAAAGAGCATCCTGTATCATCCAGAATCACATCTCAGGATCAGAAGTGGTTTCAGCAGATTCTGACCAGTTCTGGAGAACCGGTAGCAGAAATTTTGAATAGTTCAGAGAACTGGTAAATACCATCTCTGACTGGCCCTGCCCCCATCTATTCTCTGCCTCCCAAGTCCCAGCTGATCGGGAGGAAATGGGGATTTTGCAGTAACTTTCTCCTGGAGTGGGGTGGGAATGGAGATTTTACAGTATCCTTCCCCTGGAATGGGGTGAGAATGGAGATTTTACTGTATCCTTCCCCTGGAGTGGGGTGGGAATGGAGATTTTACTGTATCCTTCCCCTGGAGTGGGGTGCGAATGGAGATTTTACTGTATCCTTCCCCTGGAGTGGGGTGGGAATTGAGATTTTACAGCATCCTTCCCCTGGAGTGGGGTGGGAATGGAGATTTTATAGCATCCTTCCCCTGCCACGCCCACCAAGCCATGCCACTCCCACTAAGCCACACCCACAGAACCGGTAGTAAATTTTTTTGAAACCCACCACTGCTCTGGGTGTAGCTGTATACTTTCTGACACCAGAGGTGACACCAAATGGCATCCTCAGAATAAAGCAAGTGTTTATTTATGGCTGGGACCAGCAGATCTATATGGTTCCCCTGAATCTCCTGAATCTCTTCCCTCCTTTTAAAAAATGTCCAGTCCCTAGAGACCCTTTTAAAGAATTGAAGTATATATACACCATGCAATTTTGTAGCTATGAAGCAGACTCCCCAAAGTTTGGAATAAGCATTCATTATAACTGCTTTTAAGGTTACCATTATTTTGAAAACGTACAAAACAAGGGTGGGGGGGGAACCCATTCATTTGGAAAGTCAAAAAGAAGACTTGAACATCGTGGCTTTTCCCTCCATGCTTGGGATCTTGCCTTCTTTTGTTTCATTGCCTCCACATTAATTGCAACCACTCCATTAGAAAACTAACTCAGCTTGACCTGCCTAAAAATCTGATCTATATAAAGGCCTAAGAAAAGAAAGGAACTGGTGTAAAAAGGAGATAGTATTGTAATATACTAGTAATAGGATTGCTTTAATACTAGTTTATTGAACAAGCCAGAGGGGCATCATTCAGACTAAACACTAAATTATAAACCTTGACCTAAACTAAAATGGTAAGCCATTCTCAATGAAAGCCAAACCACTGGGGAATCATGACAAATGTAAATGTAGGTGAAGACTGTGAAAAAATGTAAGAAAGCAAGCAAGCAAACATGTCAGAGCAAAAAAAAAAATCTATTTTGCAATGGAATCTCTTGATTTATATGGACTACTGGGAAAACTTGTCAGCAAGTATGTGAATGTCCTATAAAAAGTGGCTGTTGTTCCTTTCTTTTTGCTCCAGTGGGAACCATATATTCCAGGGTCTTGCTGCTGGTATAGCTGTGAATGAGAATGGAAGAGGCCAAATCACAGGTAGGAAAAGGCAACATTTCATATTTGATGGATGTTGAATCTAATAAGATGTCACCCTCAAAGTGTTGTATTCTAATTTGAATTGCTGCGTTGCTTCATTCCTTTTGAACCCACATCCTCTAAAATAAATGGATGCAAAGTTTTCAAAGTATTTCACAAAGGATCTCTTTCTAAACCATAGGTGTCCAACCTTGGCAACTTTAAGACATGTGGACTTCCTGCTGACTGGGGGAATTCTGGGACTTGAAATCCACATGTTGCAGTTGCCAAGTTGGCACCACTGCACTAAACCTTACACTAATCCTGCAGATAAGCAAAGGTTCTTTTCCCCTGTCGAAAATTGAAATTAGGAGACGCTTATGTTTTCTAAAACCATCTTCTGAGTTCCTGATTGAAAGCTGCTTGACCTACTTATTTCCTAGCTCACTGTTGCTTTGCTTCACTGCCTTTGTCTAGAACAAAGACATGTTGTAGTGCTTTCTCTTGTCTGGTTGCTAGCTTCTACCTATTGCTTCCTTTGTGAACATTTGAGGCAGATAGGGGAACTTTTCCAGATGTTCTTTGTACTCTGCCTAGGAAGTCACAGTAGGTATGATTGAGGACATCATGTCAGGTCTGAACAGTTAGCTGTACCTACTCCTGGGAGTAAAGTGCTAAAAACAAGTGCTGTGTAGAGCCCGCAGATGGTGTGTTGCCTGCCTTTACAATTTTGAAAAGGCTACAGGATGCATTCCCATCCCAAATGGTATACGAAGACTAAAAGGTGTTCAGAACTAGGTCAGAAAAGAAAGCTTAATTCCTTTCCTTTCCTTTCCTTTCCTTTCCTTTCCTTTCCTTTCCTTTTCCTTTTCCTTTTCCTTTTCCTTTTCCTTTTCTTTCCCTTCCTTTTCCTTTTCCTTTTCCTTTTCCTTTTTCTTTTTCTTTCCTGAAAAAGTGAAAATGCTAGAGACCATTTTTGGTTGAAGGGATGGAGCAGGGGAATGGGCAGTTTAAAATGCTTATTTTGCTCCTGAAAATGCAAAAGGAGGAAACAAAGATTTGCCCAACGTTTTCAGAGATCAGAGATTTTTTTAAAATAATGCAGTGATCTATTAAGCCTTTGCCAGATTTAAAGAACCCCAACCCTCCCAAAATGCCTTTCCCAAATCCCAATATTTTAATTTCCCCCAAGAGAGGCCATGAGTATTGGCAAATTATAATTTTTGCTATTCTGCTTTATGGTATTTCCCTGCTGGCCTTCTCTTGACTGTGGTTGCCACAGAGCTTTGAACTGCACTTTGTAATGATAGGCTAGCCTATCTCTAGCAATCTTAAATAATAAAAATAGTGCAGATTTGGCATAGAGAAGAATGGTATCGAGTTGGCTTGATGGGATTTCCAACATTAGAAATCAAATGCTGGGTTCCTCTTGGAAGATGGATGTTTAGCAATTCTTCATTGACTGATTTTCCTACTGCACCTTAGAAAATGTCATCCGGGAGAACCAATGGGGAGGTGCAGACATCCGGCGTGGCGGAGATCCTGTCCTCCGGAGTAACCTGATCTGTTGTGGCTATTCAGATGGAGTGGTTATTGGAGAACGAGGAAAAGGACTTGTAGAAGGAAACACCATTTATGGTAAGCCTGTTCTAAATTCCCTTTCCAAATGAAATGTGGGTTGTATTTGGAAAATACAGGTGGGGTTTTTTTTTTTATGCTATCTGGAACCGTTTTAAGCCTATCAATGTAATTAGAATCTGGCCTGAGTAGCTGCTGATTCTCTTGCAGAACATGAAGATCCAAAAGATATTTTTAGAGTGTCTAAATTGTGTGACATCTTGTGAATTTGGTGCATTAATCACTTAGGTGATCTCATTCTTCTGTGGCTTGTGGTGAAGATCATTGTCACAAGAGCAGGGGGGACTCATGCCTTTTTCCCCATGGAGATTTCTCTTCCACACCTGCAGGGTTTCTGAACAATTCTGTGCATGGTAGAGTGTTCAAGCCTACTGGTAGGTCAAAATAGGACAAAGACCTCTGGTTTTTGATACCTGAATCCAGCTTTAGAAATGGGTGTCTTCCATTCCTCAAGATTTCCATTGCTAGGAAGTGCAGGAGACTTGAGCTGTTCCTGGGAAGCCTAGAGATCCCAAGCAAGGACAATTCCTTGTATCTATATCAAAAACCACTAAATCAAGGGTGTATCAACCAGTCTGTCAGTGATCAAAGCTGATGTCATAGATATTTGAGTCTACCTGATTTGGATCTTGAACTCTGCTGTGGTATATAGCCTTGGACTAGTGGACTAGTATAGTGGACTAGTATAGTATAATATTAATGCAGTATCAGGCGTTTTCAATTCAATTGTATAACATGAAGGATGTATGTTTTTTTTTATTTTTATAGTTTTCTTATGTATGATGTACACTGAAGTTGGCAATTAATTTTGTTGTATGAGGTACAATGACAATAAAGTAAACTAACTAAACTAACTAACTAAACCAGAGGTCTTCAAACTTGGCAGCTTTAAGACTTGTGGACTTCAACTCCCAGAATTCTCCAGCCAGCTATTCTAAACTAAACTAACTTGGACCAAAGTGCTTCTCAGTTCTAGTGCCAAATCTCTGACATAATTTGAAAGGAAACCTGACAACTCTCCATGCTTCTCTTGTAGGTAATAAGGGCTGTGGTGTCTGGATAATGTCATCCAGCCTTCCCCATGTTACCAACAACCAAATAGGGCACAACAGCATCTATGGCATCGCAGTGTTTTGCCGCAAGGACGATGCTAATGATTATCTTGTCAACCAAGGAGGCAATGAGAACTTCAATGAAGAAGGAGAAGCAGCCAACTGGGAGAATGACCTGGAGAGTGAGGATGAACGCTTGACTTCCCGGCGGCCCATCAACGTGGCCCTTGTGGAATCAAACAACATCAACCATAATGGAGGTGAGTCCTAGAAAAATTGGATAACCAGATTAATATGAAGGAAAGCTTAAGGGGGCCACCACTTAATAATTTGCACAAAGTCCCCGCAGAAACACAATAAGGTAGAGCAGGCATGTCAAAGTTGATTTCATTGAGGGCTGCATCAGGGTTGTGTTTGACCTTGGGGGGCCAGGATGGGCGTGGTCAGGGTGGGTGTTGTCAGCTTGACGTCACTCATGTCAGGGGCGCCTGTGGTGGCCCGAAAACTCTGCCAGCTAAAATGGGCTTGTGAGCTCCATTTTCGGCTGCGAGGGCCTTCTGCAACCATCTGCCAGCGAAAATAGAGCTTGGGAGGGCCACATGCAGCCCTCCTAAGCTCCGTTTTCGCTGGCAGTGTGGGCCGGTCCTTCGCTATTTCCAGGGCAGCCCCGCAGGCCAAATCTAAACACCCTGCGAGTTTGACACCCCTGATGTAGAAAGCTGTCATAATCCTTTACAAAACATATTAGCCTGCTGCATGATACTTGTGTGGATAAACCATATGCTAATTTCTAGCACACACTGGGGGTTTTGTTTACTCCTTTTGATTCAGTTTTAGTCTAAGCTGAGTAGTGAATAATTTGTAATTATTTTATTTTCGATATTAGATGAAGTTGGGGAAGATCTCATTTTAAGTTTCATTGACTGACTTTATATAAGCATTTGGGTTGCCGTCTGAAATTGTGTGTCTGTGTGTGTGTATAGGCCAAGAATGGATAAGGCATGCTAAAGATAAGATTGCACTGCTTGACTTTTCAGGGAGCCTCAACTGGGGATGAGCAGTTTTCATTGCTGAAATGTGTGAATTGTAATAGAAGCAGAGAGCTAAGCTGTAGACCGTGATGCTGATCTTACAGAATACAACAGGGATGATGATGATGATGATGATGATGATGATGATGATGATGATGATGATGACGACGACGACGACATACTCTTGCTTTTTTTGGGGGGGGGGTTGATTGTTGTGCTTGTACTTGCTGCCCTGTTACTGCCCCCAAATTACACTCAACAACTGCCTGAAATTCCTTGTCCCTCAGTGATCTCACTCCCTGAAATGCACATCTATGACTATTGTTTGCCATTTGATATTTTTGCATTTTCTCCATTTAAGAAAGGCCAACCATCTATTTTAAATATAGATATATATAAATATAGCTATAGATAGAATTTATTGAGACTGAATGCCTCTCTCCTCGTTTTGTTTTTGTTGAGAGAATTGACTCCCCTCTGTATTCTCTTCTTTTTTCCATAGCTGCTGGCTTGTATGTCAAAAGCAGCGAAGCTCTGAATATCATTGGAAATGCCATCCACGCCAACCATGACTACGGGGTTGCCGTGTTTCAAAGCTCGCAACTCACCCGAATTGCAAATAACAGCATTTCTTGCAATAGCCTTGGGGGAGTCCTGGTGGAAGCCGAGTGCCGGGTGGAACTCCGTGGCAATGGGATCTATGACAACAGCAGCCATGGCATTAGCTCCAAGGGCGATGGGGTCATCACAGAGAATGACGTTCTAGGAAACCAGGGATGTGGCCTCCGACTCTCGCAGGCAGCCGACATGAAGGTGGGTGCCTAAAAAAAGAACAGGCTTATTAATATGTAATTAGTAATAATTAGTAATATCACCTCCTTTCTCCAAAAAAGGATGTTCTCATTGTGAAGTTGGCAAGATTAAAGTGGGTGGCTGACTCAAAGTCCCTCCATGAATTTCCCAGCCACATTGGCAGTTGAAGTCATGTCTCTGAATATTGCAGTGCTCATCCTCCACTGGATAACATCAGTGAGAAACCTGAGAATCATTTGACGCCGCTGCTACTTGGATTTTGGCCAGAATCCATTATTTCCCCAAGAGAAGATGCCAACAAGTAAACATTTTGGACCATTCCTTGGAGGAGAAATGCCTTAGGGAGAAATTTATTATAGAACATTAATGCTAGGCTGCACTTAGAAATGATAGGTACAAAGGAGACAAAACCAGGATTGGATTCAGTATTCAGTGTGTTGGTTGAATCCTACCATCAAATGCATTGGAAGTCTGATGTCGCAGCTCTCCCATTTCCAAGGCTGCAATGTAGGAACTGGACTTCCTTTGTTTTTTCCTTGAAGATGTTCCACTTCTCATCCAAGAAGCTTCTTCAGTTCAGTTCTTGGATGAGAAGCAAAACATCTTCAAGAAAAAAAAACCACAAGGAAGTCCAGTTAGCTTTTGAAAAAGCACCTTTGGGGCAACCATGATCTAGATGACTGAGAATCTCCATAGACGTACAGTTTCATAGCCTTTTCTTCTATCTCCTAGAGCTCCCCTCAACTGCATCAATGTAACCTTGCTGATATAGCTTCCCCTCACTTAGTGGAAGGAAATGCAAAAACTAGCATGAACCCTAAAATAGTTAAAAAAAACAATTGTCCTTCCCTGTCATTAAAAATCAAATGTTTATCTTGATGACTTGCTGGGTATCATACCACTCTCTCTGTATCCAGAATTAAGTGGAAGCATCAAACATTGCCCTCTAGGAAGCATACTTGATTGGGGATTCAAACAACCAGGAACTGTTGGCATGCATGCAGCAGAAGTGATATTCAGCAGGTTCTGACCAGTTCTGGAGAACCGGTAGCGGAAATTTTGAGTAGTTCATAGAACCGGTAAATACCACCTCTGACTGGCCCTGCCCCCATCTATTCTCTGCCTCCCAAGTCCCAGCTGATTGGGAGGAAATGGAGATTTTGCAGTAGCCTTCCCCTGCAGTGGGGAGGGAATGGAGATTTTGCAGTATTCTTCCCCTGCCACACCCACCAAGCCACGCCCACAGAATCGGTAGTAAAAAAATTTGAATCCCACCACTGGCATGCAGTATCCAATATGACAGATTATGTTTCAGGAATTCTGAGCTATTCGAGAATAGTGAGCCTCAAATCTGAACATACAAATTTATAGAGTAGTATGAAGAGAGGCAGGCAGGAATCCATATGTGCAGAAGGAAAAGATGCCTTACTCTTCCTCCATCCCTCAAAACTCCCAGTGGGTCAGAAAGCAATTCCCCCCCCCCTGTTTTTTTTCTCCATTTCACCCATCCAACTTGTATCTGGATGTTTGAAGTCCTAATTGATTCACATGATCTTTTTTAAATATACCATTTAAATAGAGGATCCCAATTTAGAGGAACTTTTGTCACAGGGTAGAATTTGCTCACTGACAAAATAGTTGCTAGAGCAGGCATGGCCAGTCACAATATATGTATTTTCCAGAAGGCAAATAGGTAAGGATGTTCCTTGTTGCCACATTTATTCACCACCTCGTGACTCCCTACCAAATTCCATCTAGTATTTGTCTGTCTGGGAGGGACTTTTGGTGGACCAAACTGTAGCCACCTACCCTTCATTTTTCTCCTAAGACTGTGACATGGACAGAAGCATTGTTGTGAGGACAGAAGGAGCATGGAAAATAAAACTGGTGCTAGATGCTGATGTTTGGCTCCTCAGCATGCCAGCTGGTCATATTAAGAGTCAGGCAGGGCAATGATAGAGCTATGAGATATGTTCTGAGTACATTGGTCCCCTTCAACAATAGATAAAGGCCCCCTAGGTGGCAATTAATTTTCTCAATGGGCCACATGGACAACTGGGACTATTGCGGAGAGCCGAATCACTGCAGTCCAGATAGGGACAGCCAAAGGGTCAGATGTGGCCTGTAGGTTGTAATGGGCTGGATGTGACCCACAGGCCATAGAATATTCAGGTCTGCTTTTGGGCATGAAAAGGAAAAGCACTCAATTAATATTTTGCTAGTGATGCTCAAGCTTTTTCAATATGCCTTACAAGTTTCTATTGAAGTATTTAATATAGAATATATAAAACTGCACATTCTTTAAATGTCAGGAACGGATCAGAGTCTTGAGCTCTTATTCTGCCTGTGCAACCTAATCAGGTTTTTAAAAATGATCCTCCGGGTCCCCATTCCTGCAGTTCTGCTTACAGATTGAGAAATAGCTGGTTGCCAGTTCCTTTGAAAATACGTTTTTCCAAAGGGATTACAGAATCTTTTTTCTTTCCTTCAAAATTAGAGAACTGTTTCTGCTTGAATTAAATTTGATAGCCAACTAATTGGTCCCTCATATTCAAAAGGAATGACATGTTACTGTCCTGTTATGCACTCCAGGTAACCAAGAACAGAATCCACTCCTTCCGAGGTTACGGGATTGAGATGCTTGATCAAACCAAGGCTTTAGTACAAGATAATTTGATTTTTCAAGGGAAGAGCAAAAAGACTATTTTACAGCAAGTGTCCAGCATGGAAGATTGTGTCATTCAGAATAATAAGATCCTTGCTTTCAGAAAAAAGTAAGTTTGGCAGTACTTCAGTAAATGAAAAGCTCTGTCAGTCGTACTTCTAGACTGGGTATTAATGGATTAAATTGTCCTGACAATATAATAGGAACTTGTAGTTTGTTTCTTTATTGAATAGTATTTGCAACCCACCCCAATCTCAAAGTAGTACTCTGGTGATCCTTGTTTACCAACCACTCGCTCAGCAACCATTTGAAGTTGCAATGACATTAAATGAATGGTACTTAAAACTGGGCCTTAGAATTCCAGCCATTGTACATCTCTGCAATCACATGATTATCATTTGCACCCTTCCCTGATAGTTTCTCATAAGCAAAGTCAATGGGAAAGCCAACAGGTAAGGTCACAAGTCTTTCTGATAAGTCCCACAGTCTCTCTGTGCTCTTGTACCACCACTCCATTCATTCACCAGTCTTCTTGCGTGGTGCTGCTGCATAACACACACAGACACACAATGTTCCCCCCAGCTTCCTCCATCCCCCCTGCAGACTCCATCCTCCAGAGCTCCTGTGCAAAATATTTCTTGGAACTCACTCATCTAGCCTGGGTGATTGCTTTTTTAAGTCTTCCAGATCCAGGGCTAATAAACCAGGATCAAGTCAAGAAGCTTTTCATGGATTCTGAAGTTCAGTTTGCAGATAGGAGGTGATGTTCTTGAGAGTTCTGCTGGGTTTGACTTCTGTGCAAATCTCTCTGCACAGAAGTCAAAAGATATATCATGAAGAGAAGTTGAATTCTGCTCGGTGTGTTATTGTTGATGATGATGTTATTTCAATGGGAAAATGTCTTCCCCTTCCCTTTCCTGCACTATGGTGGTAGTCAGCATTAAACCATCTGTGTACAGCTAGATCAAAGATAAAGAAAGATAAAGATAGAGAAACTTACAGATTTTCAATTCTTTTTTTTGCTCTTCAAAGCAGACATTCTAAGACAGCAGTTACAAATAGTTAGAACTGTAAGCACTGTATCCTAAGATATTTGGCAGACATAGCAGCATTCAGCCGCCTGTTGCATAGCAAGTGTCAAAAAAAGATTTGTAATTTCATCATTGGCACTAAACACTGATTGAGAATGGTTTTTGCCTCCTTTAGAAAGGCAAGTTCAGACTTTGCAAAGCACCATTCTTGCCAAAGCAATATTTATTCAATTGGGTGTGGATTATTATCTTACCTAGTAACTTCAACTGACACTGGCTGGTAATGAAAATTGTACTCTCACATGTCTCAAACTTACTAAGCTTAGAAAATTTGAGCTACAAAATGAATTCTTTCCTGACATAGGTTTCCTTAAATGCAGACCAAATGTATTTCCTGTACCATATGAGGGAGGCACCAATGACTGTGATATTTCTGTTCTTCAGGTCTGATGTTGCCTGGACCTTAGAGAACCCTCCAGCCAGGCCTCACATAGAAGAATCGTCTCGAGGGGTGTCAACAGCTGGAAGCAGCCAAAAAGGATCAAACGTGACAGCCAGGATAGCTGCTAGAGTAGATGGGGGTTGTCATAACAATGGTAGTATCTTCTGCACTATTCTGTGATGGTTTGCAGATTTGCCTCCATTTTCCTGATTATGTTCACTGCAACATTGAACAAATTCACATCCAAATGTTTTTTTAGCTGACTGGCTAGCATTGTGAGTACATAAGAATTAATGGGAATGTGACTAGACAAGGAACTGTAGCCAACTACAACCTTGACCAGCTGACTATGCCCTATTGAGTGTTTTGAGAGCTTGCCTCAGCTTTCACATCTGCATCCTTGCATCAGGCCCAAGTTCATTCCTTAGAAAGTGGTATGTTTGCAGTATCAAAAGATATGGTTGCTTCTTATGCCTGCTTATGCCTTTCCTTTGTCGAACTGATTATTCAGAATTACATCTAACTAAGGGAGGGGATTGATCTAATAACTGTGATGTCTCAAAGGCATTTGAGGGTCATCTACTTGCATTTTTGCCTCATACGGATTTTCAAAAGGAATAGTTGCAAAGGAGGGGAAGAGGAAGGCTGCTTTCTGTGTGAGGTATTAAATTCCCAGATAATTTTTTACCTTCCTTTCTTCTGCTTCTGTTAACACCTTTCAACATGGCTCTAAGTAGGAGTGATGTGCAAGCAATATTATCAGAAGGAATTGTATCCATTCTTGCAATTACAACATCACTTGCTACTTATATAATGTGTAGGTGAGGAGTGGATAGGGATTCACTTAAGTTTACACTCTTATCGATTTGCCAAAAAGCCACTTAGTTTAATGTCACTGAAATCCTGGGTGCCTTGACCTATTTGTTGGCCTGCTTGGCATCAGTACCTTGACCTAGCTTGAAATTAATTTTCTTTTATTCCAGAAACAAGAGTTCCTTTCTTCTATATTGAAAAGAGCCCAGTTTTGGCTGTTGTGTATGATTTTTATCTCCCCTCTGGTGCCTTCTAGACGTGCTGAACCTATCATCCAAAGCAGCATGTTTTTGCAATGATTGGAGTTGTCATCCAATACACACAGAGGGAACATATATAATTTATCTAGGAGTAAGTCCCACTGAAAATAGCAGGGTGGAGTTACCAGTAGACATAATGAACATTGTTTAAGGTTCTAGAGTATTAGATCTGGAATATGGCAAAATATATGTAAAATTACATAAAGCAGAGATGAGTTAGAATTCTTATCAAAATGCAGTAGGGTGGGGGTTTTCTAGGAAGAAAATAAGATCCCTCAAAGCGGAGTGGTGGATTTTTTTATTTTTTATTTTTGGAGTTTTCAGCAAAAGAATAACTTGTACACTAGCGAAGATCTTTCTGTAATTTTGTTAATACCAACATTGCCATAATATGGTGATGCTGGATTTAAAATAAACTCTTAAAAATGAGAAAATGGACTTCTAGAAGCAGCTTCCAGTAACTTTAGGGGCTGTTCAGAACTTGAACATAGTTTTATACACAAGTGGCAAATTGAAAGTATACTGTGCCTTTATAAGCATTTAATACAGGTGGTCCTCGACTTACAAACACTTGTTTAGTAACTATTTGAACTTAAACAGCATTGAAACAAGTAACTCATCACCATTTTTCACACAATCATTGCAGCATTCCCATTGCCCCATGATCAAAATTGAGGCACTTGGCATCTGGCTTGTATTTATGATGGTTGCCGCATCTCGAGGTCATGTGATCCCCTTTAGCGACCTTTTGGCAAGCAAAGTCAATGGGGAAGCCAGATTCACTGAACCATGTTACTAACTTAACTGCAGTAATTCACTTAACAACTGTGGCAAGAAAGGTGGTAACATGGCAAAACTCAATCTTGCTTAAAATGGCAAAACTTTCTTGATTAGCAACAGAAATTTTGGGCTCAACTGTGGTCATATGTTGAGGACTACCTGCGTGTATCGATTTTCAAAAGAACAATCCTGGGCAAAATATTTCTTGGAGCTCATTGGTCTAGATCACGGGTGTCAAACTCAATCACGACGCTTTTTGCCTTTGCAGAGCCAGGGTGGGCGTGGCCTGTGTGTGACGTATCCAGCCCGCAAGGCACCAGTTTGACAGGCCTGGTCTAGATTGTGGGTGATTGCCTTTTTTCAAACTAATATCTTAGAGGAAGCAAGATATGGTCACTCAGCAAGTTGATTTCTTGGAGAGTTTTTAATGAAATTCTCAAGGATAAGTAATGAACGTATTTTAAAGGGACCAAAGTGAACTAGCCTTGTCATTTTTCTTTACTTCACAGAGCTTGTACCTGTTTTAACAGTTATGTGGCAAGCAATAATGTAGTAGGTTAAAATCTCAGGACTTTGAAGAATCATCTGGGTCTGCCATACGACTGTAATTAAAACAAGCGTTCGAAATGAAAAGGGTGTGATTGGTGCTCTAATAATGTAGAGTAGGGGTGTCAAACTAGATTTCATTGAGGGCCACATCAGGGTTGTGTTTGACTTGGGGGAGCATGTGGCTGTGGCCATGGTGGCCATGGCCAGCTCAACATCACTTATGTCGGAGGCGCCTGTGGTGGCCCAAGCGCTCTGCCAGCGAAAACGGGCTCCTAAGCTCCATTTTCAGATGCAACAGCTTCGTGCCACCCTCTACCAGTGAAAACAAAGGTCAGGAGGGCTCCATTTTCACTGGCAGAGGCACAGCGGGCCCTTTTTCCAGGGAAGCCCCATGGGCCGGGCTGGATCTGACCCCCAGGCCTTGAGTTTGACACCCCTGTTGTAGAGGTTGTATGTATTATTGAATTATTGCTGCATCAGCTCTGGCTCAAGGTGAAAAAAAAGGACACAATTATAGGACATAAACTGAAAAAAATCCTCTATTGACTTTGTTTTCAGAGGAGACTGTGAGGGTCTCTGTTGATCTGAAGCCTAGACAAGTCTACTGTAGTGCACACTGCCACTAAGATGCATTTGTAGCATGGAAATAAATCTCACAAGCTCTCAGTTGGTAAGGTGTAATTGATCTCTGGTAGAAGAATGGTCCGGAGCACTTGATTAGGAGACAATAGCATTTTGGTTTATTCAGTTACATCTTATCTTCTATTGTCAGAACATGGAACAGTGCTCTTGAGATAACCAACAGATCATAACAACACACATTTATAAATACCACTGAGTTTGAATGGGGCATAGAATTTTGCCCTGTATTAAATATAGAAAACTCAGTCCTCTTCACTCTAGTCATAGCAGCTTGGGTAGGATCTTAGATTACTCTATCTCTTTTAAGTTGAAGATGCCAGAGACTGAACCTGGAACAAAGGAGGCCTTGAGTTTCTCATTTGTTATGTGTTTAATATTTTACAGTTGCTCATCATTTCCTAGAAAACAGTAAAAAAAGGAGGCTTTCAAAAAGAAGCACTGTTAATAGGAGAAAAGAATGTTATCTGCACATGGATTTATGGTTTTGTGATCTTCATATGTATGGATAATTGTCAAAAAAAAAAACTGTTTAAAAAGTGTGACCTACAAATAGCATGGTTTTGTAGAAATTCTTTGCAGCTGGGGCTGAAATCCTACGCACATGTAGGAAAATCCAATTGTTAACCATTCCATTTTGGAATAAATATGCATTGGCTTAAGCTGCAAGTCAGCAAAATAAGCAAGCCAGAAGTATTGTTACAGGGCTGGATCCAGTTTATCAGGTGCAGAAAGTGTTTCCCTGAGTGGAAAGTGGGGAAAACTGCCAGTTGGGCTTTTTCTCTGAAGCCCGTTTTCCAGTTCTCTTAAGTCTTCTTAAGCAAGGAGTAGAGAGAATGAACTAGGACCTACTGTTGCAGGATCAGGAAACGTTTTACTTAATAGACATAGCTTTTCTAACTACCAACAGATTGTGAATTCACTACCAATATTCCCAGTATGATGTATTCCCTCATGAGTTACAATCACAGACAAGTCATTGACGGTTCTCAGTCCATTGTAAACAATCAATTGAATGTCTTGTTAAAAATTAGATGCCATTAACTTAATTGCCTCAGTTCTTTGATTTTTAAGCTGCAATTTTGTACCACACACCTTGTAGTAAACTCTGCTATAATCTCACTTCCAAACAGACATGAGACTGCACTGTCAGCAATAAAGTGCATTGAGCCATAGACCACTTCTTAAAGCATTTTAGCTTAACTGGAATTGACCACTAATACGTTTTAAGCTTGTAAAGCTGGGCTGGGTGATAATCTGGTATCTTGTTTAACATGTATCTTGTTAAAAGAAATGCAAACTACTCTTTGAAAAGTTTTATAAAGGAAAATCTGTGTACTACAAAATAAAAAAAATATTTTATTTTAAATGCAGAGATTTTGCTGATTTTTTTCCCCCTGCTACATTATGGAAGGTGACAAGAGGCAAAGAATAAGAGGGTTCTTCAATTAACTGCACAATGAAGAGAAATTTCTTAAGTGTTCTGCAAGAAGTTGGTGCGTGAGAGAGGTGGGAGCCAGGGAAGAACTCAGATACTGCATATGCCTCCAAAATTCAGTTTATATGAACTTGGCTTTATTAGTACTATTTATAACTCCAGCCCACCATAGAAAGTTTTAGCTGCATGAAGGTTAGTAATAGACCAATGTCAACCAAATATAATGTGTGCATATAAGTGTTGCTTGTCTGTTTATAAAACATGGTTCACTTTGTAGGTATTTTAAGAGACTGGGCATTATGGAGAAGGAATGTAAGGTACAGTGTGGGAAGAACCAAAGAGACAGATGATAGCTCTCTGGCCCTAAGAACCAAACTCTCTTAATAAATAATTACTAAACAATTATTCAGTTTTGCTGGCTAGTTGATGACAGTTGATGGCCAATATGTTTATAGGTGACCAGGTTGGAGAAGAATGATATATCATCTCTTCTTTATAGCAACTGCCTACTTTCCATGCCCTGATCACAGGTAAAATGTGTGTTTTTAGATCATTCAAACCATACACTGCTTTAAAGAAAACAGTTCAGCTGCATTTCTATAAAAACAAATACAAGAAGATAAAAAGCAGAAAGGAGCCTAGAAATTAACCCAAGAACTATAGAAAAATTAGGAATGTTACAACAAAATACATAATTAAATGAAAATGATTAAGCACAGGTAATTTTAAAAAATGTTTATTACCAAAAAACAAGGAACATTTTAAACATTAAAATATTTAATGTTAATGTTAAACATTGTAAATATTCAGTCATGCTCACATTTTAAATATTTTACATGGATAGAGGAAACTATTCCTATATGGCTGTTTTGAACCAAGATGCCGAATGTTCAAATATCACAAAGGACAACATAGCACTTCAGTAAAAGTGCAGATCTCTGCTAAACAACTCGAGAGAAACAAAAATGTATAACTACAAGTACAAATCTCTCCAGTCCTTTCAGGACAATGAAATGGTAGCTCTGTTCAGATTATCCATAAATTTGTCCAGCTTGTTGTAAATCCTAGAGGAAAAAACATTCTTAATTTAGTTTGCGTTTCCTGCTGCGCTGGGGCATCTTCTGTACAGGTAAAGGCAAGCATAAGGTCCCTAATTTGTGCTCTTCAAATCCAGAGAGGATTTTGCTTTTGCTGATCTTCAGTCTCATCGCCTTGGCAATGTCAAGTATTCTGCATTAAAAGAGAAAATGTCAGTTATAAAGACTGTTCTGCTCAAAGGGTTTCTTTTTTCTTCTAGCAGTTTTCTCTTCGCAGTTTGTGACTTTGGCTTTTTCCTATTCCTTTCCCTCCTTTAACTGTCAGATTACAGCCATAACTTATATTCTAAACTCCTTGGGCTAAAGAATTGGGGGTTTTGCTGATGCCAGCAAACTTCTTTTCACAAAGCAAGGCAATAAAGCTGATTGAATCAAGAGCCTATCATGTTTGAAGAAAAGCCAAGCCTCAAGCCAGCCTTTCTAACCAGAGGCTTCCTGATGAATTGGACTGTAAGCCTCATCTGATGGGAGTTGTAGTTCAATACAGCTGGAGATTGGAAAAGACTGCCAGAAGCAACAACATTCTACCCAAAATATTTCTGAAAAATGGAGAACAGATGTCTTGCATTCTTTTAATGCAGTAAAAAAAATAATCACCAGCATCTTTTTGCTTTTTGTATTTGTACTGGACAGAATTACCATACATCATTTCCCCCACTGACCTCTTGTATGAAATACAGGTAGTCCTCGAGTTATGACCATAAAGGAGCATAACTTGGGTTGGTCATAAAATGGGTTGACTGATCCGATTTTACAATTTATTTATTTTTTGCAGTGGTCACTCAGTGGTTTCCTGTGAGCTGGTAAAACCAGAAGCAAATGCTGTCTTGGGGCAAAACTCAAAATGTGATCATGTGGCCACTGGACACCGCAAATGACTGCAAATTGCTAAGCACCTGAAGTGCAGTCATGTGAATACGGGGTGGGCCTAACTTTTGGAACTTCAAATCCAGGTTGTAACTAACCCCAGACATGGGAATTTTGAATGGTCAAGGACTACCTGTATGGATAGGTCAAGCAACATGGCATTTTTTTCATCACTTGAGAGATTGGAGAGGTTGACTAAGCCTGCCTGAACTGAAATGGTAGAGGGTAAATATGTCACAAGTGCAGTCAGTCACTGGCCACACTTTTCAGACCTCAAATCAGGATTTCCAAGTGGACACTTTAGCCTATTCAACTACATCTAGGATTTATATTGTTTATCATCTCACTCACTCTCTCTTGAACATCATTTTCAGTCAGATTTCAGCATACCGTATTTTTCAGAATATAAGACACACTTTTTTCCACTCTAAAAGAGGCTGAATATTTGGGTGTGTCTTATACTCCGAATGTAGCTTTTTCAAAGCTTTTTTCCAGTCCTAACGAGGCGCTAACAAGTAAAGCGATCTATTACCCTGCTTTTCTCATTACTTCTCTCTCCTAAGATCAGCTGTGCTTTAGAAGCTGATTTTCAACCCCAATGCTCAAAACCAGCAAACTATTGTGCTGAAGCTGACCAGACTAAGGACGCTAGCCAGATGAATATCTGGTAGGCAGAATTTTTTCCTATTTTCCTCCCCAAAAACTAAGGTGCGTCTTATACTCCGAAAAATACAGTATTTTATAGAAACACTTAGCCTCAAGAGTACTTTCTCTTTGCACTTTGCCAAGGAGCTTATTGGAATCATTTACTTTATGACAGTCTAATCAATAACCAAGTAGCAGGTCATAAAGGCCATTTCACTCAATTACAAACACTAAAAGGGTTGAGTATAAAATAGGATGCAGTCAAATGTGAGGGGAAATTGTTGGCAAGGGAGTTCTGTCTGTCAGATGTGAAGGGGGAAGATATAGGTAGACTTCGTGTAGTGACCATAATTGGAACCAGCAACTCAGTCATTAGGCAAAGTGGTTGCCAAGTGAAACAACAACTAATGATGTTACATCAGCTTTCTTTTGCTTAACAACCATTCAAAGATTGTAAATGCTAGGATTGGCTGTAAAGTTATTGCATTGTAACTGCGAATGGTTCTTAAACAAGGCAGTCGCTAAACGAGGACTACCTGCATCGCAATATGGTGATAGGAATGTAATCTGCATGCATACAGCACTTGTATGGGGGGATGGAGTCAAGAGAATGATCAGCCTGGAGTCATTACACTCCCATAACGGTCTTAAGTCCAGCCTCTTTCGATTTCCCTTGACTCTTAATTTAGCGCTAATTTAGTGTTGATTGTTAATTGACTAGATTCTTGTGAATACTGTAGGCATGAGCAATAAGTCATCTTAACTGGAACTTAATGTGTGATACCAATAGCATCCCTTTTTAATTATCTCTGTAGGCACATATTACCAATTAGCATTCTTGATTATTTTTCCTAGCAATTTATGTGCTTTCTTGGTGTTAAAGACGTGATCTGGGATTTGACTGACATGGCTTCCAAGGGAAGTTTCAATGGATATTTCATTGCTGAGACTTTGGATGCTGATGCTGGATAACCAGCTGAGACAGGCTGGTTATCCAGCATCAGAACTAAGGGGCCCCTTTTCCTACCATGCAATATTGGCTCATAGGAAAAACGTACCACACTGATCTTGCTAAAGTTAAATGTGTTTTCAGTGAGAACTTCCAAAGACTAATTTCTATGAGTTATATGACCTAAAGATGGGATATCCACAACATCAGAGTACTATTTTATTTTTCTTCTAGGAATGAATGTTACCTCCTTATATAGGAGAAAACAAATTTTGTACTAAAGGACAACTTACAGTTAGGGTTCATATTTGCCATCTGTCCTGTATAGTCCGTGTTTGGCTCCTCTAGTTCAAGTTATAATCATACTTAATCTGCCCCATAGAAGATACTGAAATGAACCAGCTGTTTTTGCCTCTCCTATTCTTTGCCTTGTTATCTGTCTACTCTGGTGTTCCAGAAACAATATATACAAGACTAAGGAACTATTTTAGATGTTCATTTGTTGAATTTAATCATAAGGGTGTTCTTGAAAAAAAAATCCATTAATTTTCTCACTGTTCCTAAGGATTAGGGAAAAAATGTTTTCCCTTTTAAGGGAGAAATGTCAGCCTGATTCCTAGGAATGTTAATTACAACCCCTATAATTCCCAGCCACATGACTGCAGAACCTATTGAATAGAAGATATGGTTGTTCTAGTTGTAGTCTAGAACATTTGGAAGGCCCAGGAAGGCTAGTCCCAAAATAATCGGGGAGCATATGGTTTTTTAGGCACACCTCAAAAGCCAATGAGTGGAGCCCCTGAAGTTCTTAGCCCATTAGTAAGAGAATAGATTAAAAAAATACAATTGCGCTGTTAAACCTACTTGTTCTCACGTAGTTTCAGATCTCGCTGCAAGACTGTCAGATTTGTTTGAAAATGGTTAATATGCAAAGCCAGAGCTATAGCATATGCTGTTATCTTAACTTTCATTGAAGCTGAAATTAGATTTTGTATCCTGAAATACAAAATGAGAGAAAAAAAGGATAAGAAACAAAATGATACAAAAACTATGCAGCCTTGCTGCTACATATTCTTTCTACATCCTCCTAGAAAACAGCAAAATAAAAAAGGTTGACAAGTTTCCTATATTCCGCACAGTATTTTGTGCCAGCAGTATACAAATTCAACAGTCTATATAATGTAAGCATCTCTGTTTTAGATGCTTCATTTCGTATTCTTCTTTAATTGCAACCTATGAGTGGATTGCCTATAGATGTAGAATTTGCAGACAAGTAAAATGAAATATGGGACTCATGCAAAGTACAGCATGTTCCTTCAAATCACTGCTGACTCTTAGAAAATGGCTGGACCAGTCAGTCCCTGCAGTTTCCT